TACTGACCTTGTAACGGTTGCCCGGCTCATAATCCTCTAACGACTAGGGTTTCTTGAGCAAGGAGTGATGGTGTAAATATCATGAGATGTCTAGGGATCATTCAGCATTGATAACATCCAGACCCAAGGTCATTCAAGAGGAGAACTTCAGCTTTAGGGTCTGGTGTACCTGAGTTGAGGGGTCCAGACTCCTCCAGGTCTGGGGTATTCTGAGGTATTCTGAGCTGAGAAGAGACTCCCCCAAACCACCCTCAAGCTTCCTGATCTGGAGTCACCTGAAAGATTGTTTTGCCAAATTACCATCCATTTTCCCAACAAAGAAACTGAGGGTCAGAGAAGGTGAGTGATTTTTAGGAGGACGCACAGCAAAACGTAGCACAGTCCATTGTTCTGTAGAAAATCCTGGACCATCAGCCCAAGGTTGAGCTGAGCCTCTAACAGTTGTAAGCCCAGGGCTGTTGTGAAGGATGCTGGGAGTGAAGGTTGAGGCATGGCCTCCAGATCTTCCGGCTCCTGGAGGCAGAAGGTAGCCAGGCAGCTTCAGCTCGCTCACTGACGGTCTGTCAGGCCAACCACCCTCACTCCTGCCCCAGACAGCTAGATGTGGTCAGTTTGGATGCTGGTGCTCAGGAAGGAGCTTGGGCACCAAGATAGCCAAAAGAGAAAAAATCATTGTCATCCAGATGATGCTGAACTCATGGTAACCCCATGTGCTATAGAGTAGAACAGCTCCATAGGGTTTTCTTTTATGTATTTGTTTTCTTGTTATTGTCAAGACAAGACATAGCAAAACACACACCAGATCCACAGTTTCTACATGTACACTTCAGTGACATTGATTATATTCTTCAAATTGTGCAACCGTTTTCACCCGCCTTTTACGTTATTCCTCCTCCATTAACATAAATTCACTGCCAGCTAAATTGCCTAGCTAATCTTTCGATTAGCTGTTGTCAGTTTTAGCCCATAAAAAAAAAAAAACAACAACTAAAGCCATTGCTGTAAAGTCAATTCCAACTCATGGCGACTAGTAGCGTAGTGGTGACGTGTTGGGCTGAGAACTGCAAGGTTAGCAGTTCGAAGTTACCAGCCATTCCACAGGAGAAAGATGAGGTTTTCTGCTCCTGTAAAGATTGACATTCTCAGAAACAGTATTCAGGATTTCTATGAGTAGGAATCGACTCCACAGCACATAACCACCACCGCCAGTTACATCTTGGAGTCCTGGTGTGGCGCTGTGGGTTAATGAGCTGGACTGAGCATTTGCCCACTGTTCTATCAGGGCTGGATAGATCTTAAAAGAGCATAATACTCAAGGCAGACAATCTTTAATACTTAAGCTAAAGTAATGTTTGGTATTTTGGAGACCTCAGGGATATTTTCAGTTTAAGGTTTAAAGATTATCTCAGGGCAGTATGGCTTTGGTGATAGAAATGATGTTGGAGATTACGTGAGAGAAATTTGCAAGACCAGTGACATATTCATGTGAAAATATAGATACCTAAAGCAAACGGAAGAAATGATTAAGCAAAAGAACTGAGCAAAAAGTTTCAAAAGACTATTCAAGAAGACAAACTAAAGGATTTTAATTAAATGTCCAAAGACCTGGAGTTAGTATTTCTCAAGCTGAAAGAACTGAAGAAAAATTCAAGTCTCAGGTTGCAATATTGACATCCTAGTGTGGCTCTGTGGACTAATGTGCTAGACTGTAAAGTTGGATTGAACCACAAGGTTGGGCAGTTCAAGTTCAGCAGTCGCTCCTCGGAAACCCTATACAGACAGGGTCTCTATGGGTCAGAACCGAGTCAACAGTACTTAACAACAACAATGGGCAAAATACTGAATGATGCAGGAAGCATCAAAAGAAGATGGAAGGAATATGCAAAGTGACTGTACCTAAAAGAACTGGTCAACATTCAACCATTTCAGGAGGAAGCATATGATCAATAACGGATGGTATTGAAGGAAGAAGTCCAAGCTGCACACTGAAGACGTTAGTGAAAAACAAGGCTCCAGGAATGGACAGAATACAAATAGAAATAGTCAACAAACTGCACCAATGGGAGCACTCACTCGTCTGTGCCAAACATTTTGGAAGACCTAGTCACCTGACTAGAAGAGATCCGCATTTGTTCCCATTACAAAGAAAGCTGGCCCTACAAAACGTGTAAATTATCTAACAATATCATTAATATTGCACTCAAGTAAAATTTTGCTGAAGATAATTAAATGGTTACGGCAGTAAAATCGACAGGAGCTGCTGGAAATTCAAGCTAGATTCAGAAAAGGACATGGAAGGAGGCTGTAAGCAGAGAATACCAGATGTTTGCTTGTATTTTATTGACTATGCAAAGTCATTCGACTCTGTGGATCGTAACTAACTATTATGGGTAACGCTGCAAAGACTGGGAATTCTACAATGCTTAATTGTGTTCATGCAGAACCTGTACCCTGAACAAGAGGCAGTTGTTCAAATAGAACAAGGGGATATGTGGTTTGTAATCAGGAAAAGTTGAAGTTGTCAAGGATTTCATTTTATTTGGATCTACCAACAACATTCATGGAAGCAGCAGTCAAGAAATCAAATGAGGTGTTTATTACATAGGGCCAATCTACTGCAAAAGACCTCTTTAAAATGTTAAAGAGCAAAGATGTCACTTTGAGGACTAAACTGTACCTGACCCAAGCTATGATATTTTTAATTGCCTCAGGTGTATGTGAAAGCTGGGGAAGAGTGGATGGATTTGAATTGTGGTGCTGGCAAAGAGTATTGAAAGTACCATGGACTGCCAGAAGAATAAACAAATCTGTCTTGAAAGAAGTACAGCCAGAATGCCCCTTAGAAGGAGCAAGGATGGGGAGATTTCTTCTCATCAGGAGGGACCTGTCCCTGGAAAAGGACATCCTGCTGGTAAAGAGGGTCAAAGAAAAAGAGGGAGACCCCTAACAAGATGGATTGTTACTATGGCTGCAATAATGGACTCAAACATATAACAATGGTGAGGATGGTGCCGGACCGACCGGGCAGTGTTTCATTCTGTTGTGCATAGGGTCCATTGTGAGTCGGAGCTGACTTACTGACACCTAACAACAACAACCCATCACTCGTCTGTCTGTTTGTTACACATTTCAAGAAGGCAAGGTGGCCAGAGGCACCAGTTATTTGTCAGAAGGGACCAGTCCCTGGAGAAGGCCAGCATGCTTGGTAAAGTAGAGGATCAGTGAAAAAGGGGGAGACCTCCAACAAGATGGATTGGCACAGTGGCAGCAGCAGTGGGCTCAAGTGTAGCAGCAGTTGTAAGGATGACACAAGACTGGCTGGTGTTTTGTTCTGTTGTGCATAGGTCACTATGGATCGGAACCAACTCGTGGGCACCTAACAGCAATAAATCAACAACAACAACAACAACAGGGAAATAGTTGCAGGACTTTCACCCAGCCTTCTTGGCTCCAGGAAATGTGGATTCCGTGAGAATTTGAAAATCTGTCCTGTAGTTTCCACTTTTGGATCAGAATTTGTCTATGAAATCTTTGATCACAGGATTTTCATGACTGCCCGATTCGTAACCACTACACTACCAGAGTTCCTTCGGTACTTCATTTTAACAGAAGCATGTCACCAGGCCTTTCTTTCGAGGTATTACTGGTGAGTTCAGACTTCCAACATTCAGGTTAGTTGTTGTTGTTGTTATGTACCATCGAGTTGGTTCTGACTCATAGTGACCCCTATATAAGGTTTCTAAGGAGTAGCTGGTGAGTTTGAACCACTGACCTTGCGGGTCAAAGCAACCTTGTGGTCTAGTGCTTGATCCTCTAGTGCTATACCAGGGCTCCTTTAGGCTAGTGGTTGAGCATAAATTGTGTCATCCAGGGACCCTATTAGGACCCAACCAAACCTATTTCCTTCTTGTCAATTCCAGTTTACAGTGACTCTGTAAGGCAGAGTAGAACCACTTCATAGATTTCCAAGGTAGTAAATCTTTACAGAGCCAGACTGCCACGTCTTTCTCCCAAGGAGTGACTGGTGGGTTCAAACTGCCGACCTTTCTGTTAGCACCTAAGTGCTTAACCAGTATGCCACCAGAGTCCTCTACCAGCACAGCACAGAGCAATAATACTGGCCCCTTAGGATACAATCAGCCCTCTCACAGAACAAGGGTCCTGTGTTCGTGTCCCAGCTCTGCTCCCAGCGGTGAGAGAGAGCTTGGCCTGCCTTGTCCTCTGTGAGAATTCAGAACATCCCCTTTCCTTCCCTTCTGATTAAGAAACAGCAATGGTGCCGCTTTTTGCCAGGATCTCTGTGCGACGATCTCCCGTGTCATAAGTTCTCATTACTCCTCCTCAGAGCCCTCGGCATTCTCCTCCCTGTTACAGAGATAACACACCAAGGCCACACAGCTAGAAGCAGGCAGAGGCGGACTCAAACCCCGGTCTTGAGGCTCCCCCCTCCAGCAGATCAGTACTTCAGGGGTAGGGACAAATAATCCAGTTTATGTGATAACCTTGCCGGGAAGATGCTCTTTCTACCATTCTGAACACATAACATCATTAATCTTGCCACAAAGCAATCATTTGCTTTCAGATTTCATTATGGAGAGCTCCTGGGCGCTTGCTGGCGGGGTCTCCATGACCAGCCTGGTTGGGGAAATGGGACAAGCAGACAATAGCTTGGAGAGCTGGCCGAAGGAGCTACCGCAGCTGCCCGAGGGCCTCAGAGAAGGCTTCTGGGAGGAGATGACAGTGGAACCGGACTGTGAGGGAAAAGTTGGGTGTGCTGAAGGAATGAGTATTCCCTGGGTATGATGGATTGTGTCACTTTTGCTGGACTTGAGCACCCCAAGAGCAGGGCCTTCTCCACCTGGTGCTTAGTAAGTGCATGTGGAGTGATTAAGAGTTTCGTTCCTGTCCTCTCTCCTTGGTGACCTAGTGACCTGAATGTGTGTCAGAGAAAAATCCCCTGTGCCTCCCAGGACCCTCATGCTCTTCTTCTCACTCCACAGCCAAGAAGACCTGTGCGGACAGTGACTTCACCTGTGACAATGGTCACTGCATCCCCGAACGGTGGAAGTGTGACGGCGAGGAGGACTGTCCCGACAACTCGGACGAATCCAAGGCCACTTGCAGTGAGTCTTGCCCCCCAGGTCCAGGAGGGTGGCCGTGGCCCTGGGCCTCAGCTTCTCATGAACTCATCCTTGCTGGGTGGTTACGGCCTCTCCCACTATGTCTCTCGAGGGCCCTAATCATGATTCTAAAAGTCCTGGTGGCAGCTGACACTTACTAAGCGCTTGCTGTGTGCGAGCTCTTTGTATTGACCCCCAAAGCAGTGCCATGAGGTGGGTACTGTCACTTTCTGCGGAACACACTGAGACTCAGTATTGAGTGGCTTGCCCACAGCCCACAGCCAGGACTAGGAGGACCCAACTCTCCCCTCTGTCTGACAGACCCCTAATGGCAGTCCAGGCCTCCATGGCCAGCCCACGAGGTGGAGGCAGAGGCAGCCCTGGGAGAGCACAGGGCCTGAACAAGCCCCAGGCCCGCCCCACACACTCAGGGCTTTGTCTCTCCTTGATGTCTGTTCCAGGCCCTAATCCTCAAAGCAAACTTACACCCGCCAGGTCATTCCGTGACATTTGTTAAATTAAAAAGGAGATGAGAAAGGGGCGGGGTGGACCCAGTAGTCCCCAAGGCAGAACTTTAGCATCAGAGCCAGAGACAAAGGGCTGGGGAAGGGAGCACGTGGAGAGGAGGGGCTGGCAGAGACCCCAGGAGCCCCTCTTTAGGGGTCACAAGCTGCTCCAGAGGCAGAGGTGGGGACAATGGAGACCAGAGTCCCATCTAGGACTGCGGCTGATGATAACTGGGTTTCCTTGTCTCCTAGCAACAGAGCCACCAGTCTCCACGTGAAAAAGAAAGGGAGGGAAAGGGAGAGCAAGAGCGCCCCCGCCCTGAAACAAAGGGCTCCTGCTTCCTTGTACAGCTGCCCTTGTCCCCTGAGTTGTGCCCAGGACCCGTCCTTTCCTCCCCAAGGAGCGAAACTCCAAACTTGGTGCTGTTGTAGAGGGCCCTGGGCTGAAGGGAAGTCCAGCCCTGACCTTAACTTCCCTAGGACAAAGCCCTGCCACGCCCACTGATGACTGCCATACACACGTGAGAAAGTGGATTCCCGGTCAGAGAAAGGGAAACTGAGGCCAAGACAGGTTCAGCCCCTTGCCCAGGGCTGCCCAGCTAACAAAAGGAGAGCCAAAATTTGGCTCAGAACCAGAACAGGAATGCATGTTTGGGGAAGAGGCTTTTCAAAGAGAGAGATGGCCAAAGAGGGTGGGAGAGGGTTTCCATCTCTGAGGCAGCTAGCTCCCCCAGCCTCCCCCTAGCAGCTACCTAGGGCAGAAGGGGAGGGGGAGAAGAGGCCATATTATAGTTATAACTGGGGGGACAGTCTTGTCCCCCTCCTCCCCGTGTCTCTGTTGCTTTGTGTTACTGTTGGGCTTTTGCATTTCCAAACCCCACCTCACCCCTACACTACTTCTCTACCCTGTCTTACCTCCTCCCATCTCAGCCCCTCCTCGCCTTCCTCACTGTCTTGCCCCATGTTTCTCTGACTCTGCTTCACCCCTTCCTCCCAGCTATTTGTGTTTTTAACTGTCCTCGAAGCATTCCAGCTCATAGTGACTCTTTATAGGATTTCCAAGGAGCAACTGGTAGGTTTGAACCACTGACCTTGCGAATAGCAGTCCAGTGCTTATCCTACAGTGCCATGCCAGGACTCCCCTCCCAGCTATTGTTATTGTTGTTGTTAAGTGCCATTGAATCAGTTCTGACTCTTAGCGACCCTGCATAGAGTTTCTGAGGAGCAGCTGGTGAACTTGAACCACCGGTCTTGTACTTCAAACCGACCTTGCAGTCTAGCGCATTAAACTGCAGCGCCACATCAGAACTCCCCTCCCAGCTATAAGGCACTGTTATTTGACAGTTGAAGAGTGGGAGGCCCAGAGAAGTCAAGGAACCTGCTTCAAAGACACACAGCATGAAGTATAAGATGTAAATGGGGAACCATAGGGAGGAAGTGGGATAAATGTTCTTGGAAGGAGGGAATTGTAATCACTGAGATGAAACAAGGTGTAGTTTGCTGCATGTAAAGTTGATGATATTGTCTATAAACCTTTACTCAATTCACAATACAAAGTAAAAAAAGAAAAAAAAAGACACACAGCATCCCTGGAGTTGGGAGGCCCTGTTCTCCTTAGAGCTTTCACAGCCATATGATGCATTAGTGTCTTTCCTGCACCCTTCTTGCTTCCTCTGCAACCCAGGCCTCTAACATTCCAGAAGCCCAAAGACTTCATGATTCCAAGATTTCTGGGCTTGGGGATTCTGTGCTTTGTACAGTTTTTCTGAGACCCTCTTTCTCCTTTGCCTGAGCTCAGTTGGGGCACAAGCCCCAAGACCGCACTTCCTGTGCAGTTATATTGATTAGAGGTAAGCAAGGCCTGTGGGTGGGGAGGGCTGCCTTGAGGGGGACCTCAAAGGTCAGGCAGAATGTGGGGCAGCAGGACCTGGTAGCAGGCTTGTTCACAACTCCCTGACTGAATGGGAACCCAGCAACCAACTCTGCTGCCCATTTAATTGGTGTTGCTATAGCAACCTCAATAGCCTACCAGGTTCCTGGGGACTGTGCCAACTTCCAGGATAGAGCTCCTCTCTGCACCCCGCCCCAAAAGATTGTAGGCAGTAAAAGATTAATGGGTTTGGTGCCCTATACAACCTTGCTTGCTAAAAGTGAAAAGGACTTAAAACATTTACTGATGAAGATCAAAGAGCACAGCCTTCAGTATGGATTACATCTCAATATAAAGAAAGCAAAATTCCTCACCACTGGACCAATAAACAACATTCTTATCAACGGAGAAAAGATTGAAGTTGTCAAGGACTTCATTCTTCTTGGATCAACTATCAACACTCACAGAAACAGCAGTCAAGAAATCAAATGACGTATTGCGTTAGGCAAATCTGCTGCAGAAGACCTTTTTAAAGTGTTGAAGAGCAAAGATGTCAGCTTGAGGACTAAGGTGCGCCTGACCCAAGCCATGGTATTTTCAATAACCTCATATGGATGTGAAAGCTGGACAGTGAATAAAGAAGACTGTAGAAGAATTAATGCCTTTGAATTATGGTGTTGGAAGAGAATATTGAAAGTGCCATGGACTGCCAAAAGAACCAATAGATCTGTTTTGGAAGAAGTGCAGCCAGAGTGCTCCTTAGATGCCAAGATGGCCAAACTTCGTCTCTCATACGTTAGACATATTATCAGGAGGGAGCAGTCGCTGGAGAAGGATATCATGCTTGGTAAGTAAGGTGGAGAGTCAGAGAAAAAGAGGGAGACCTCCAACGAGATGGACTGGGCAAGTGGCAGCATCAGTGGACTCAAGTGTGGCAACAGTAGTGAGGTTGGCCCAGGATCAGGCAGTGTTTCGTTCTGCTGTGCATAAGGTCGCTATGGGTCAGTACCAACTTGATGGCACCTAACAACAACAACAACAACATTGTTGGGATCAGGGTCCCCTAACCTGTGAGACCTCAGGCAAGTTGTCCAATCTCCCAGAGCCTCAGTTTATTCATCTGTTAAGTGGACTAATAGTGCTTGGCTTACAGGGATTTATGAGGATGAAACATAGCCATACCAGAATAAATGGGTATGCTGTTTATTGTTCTTACATTTTGACTCTGGAGTTCTGATGTGGTGCTGTAGGATAAGCACTAGACTGCAAGGTCAGTTTAAACTGTAGGGTCAGCAGTTCAAATCCATCAGCCACTTCTTGGAAACCTTTGTAGGGTTGTTATGAGTCGGAACAGACTCCACGACACTAAATGACAATTTTGACTCCAGGCGCTTCCCACCACCAATTTAAGATTAAGAATAGTATGCCTCGTGAGGGAGGCGGTTTTGCATTTAGAGGGAAGGAGTTTGGGAGCAGGTCCCCATCCTGTGTTCTCCACTCTGGATGCTCTGTCCCAGCATTGTTGCCCTCTGGGGGTTTTTTTGTCTTTCCGATATAGTCAGGAGTCACAACAGGAAAGCCCAGAACATTTGCCTAATGAAAGTAGCTTATTCAGCTCTAATTATAGTCACTTGATTGGGGACGGCTTCTGACCCACCTTCTATCATCTGTTGGGAGGGGTGTGGGGGTGGGAGGATGCTTCAAGGTGAATGAGATCTTCTCCCAGGTGCTGCTTATTGAAAATGGGTTTTATTCATGCATCTTAGAACTTTCCCGCCTGGAAGTGGGAGAGTGACTTAATGGATCACCCACATTCACCATTTCCTATTGTTATTGCTGTTGGGTGCTGTGCGGTGGATTTTCCATTCTCAATGATTGTATGTGACCGAGTAGAACTGCCCATAGTGGTTTCTAGGCTGTCATCTTTACAGGAACACATCACCAGATCTTTTCTCACATGGAGCCGCAGGGTGGGTTTGAACCAGCCAACCTTTCTGTTGGCAACGTAGTGCTTAACCTCTGTGCCACACCAAGACTCTTTCCCTTTTCTATTAAACCAAAAACTAAACCAAACCCACTGCCAGTAAGTTGATTCTAACTCATAGCGACCTCATGGAGGGCTTCTAGGACTAAATCTTTATGGAAGCTGACCGCCTCATCTTTCACCCTCAGAGCCGTTGGTGAGTTTGAATTGCCGACCTTGTGGTTAGCAACCCAATGCCTAACCCATAGTGCCATCAGGGGTCAGGAAACGGAAGCCCAGCTAGTGGAGGACTGAGCTGGTTTACGAGCTCTCTACATGGTGGGCTATGCCAGTGCTGTGCTTCCTGGGGGCAGAACTGCTCCATTGAGTGGTACTGTAGTTACCACCGTGTGAGTCACTGGTCCCCTTGGGAGCTGATTGTCATCCCCATTTGGAGACTGGGTCTACCCCTAAGACTTTCATGAGCTGATGTTGTAAACACAATCGCTTAGTGAGCAGACACCAAATAGTTGAATTCTTCTAACGGAAATTTTCATTTTGATTAATATGAACTTAGGAGTTGAGAAAGTACTAAGTGGATTTGGCTTTCTGGGGCAGGATTCTGCCAGAATGTATAATTGCCTAGAGACATGAAAAGATGGAGTTTCGGGCCCCCTTGTCCACTTTGGGGGATCCCAGTTTCCTGAGAGACAGTGGGGTTCTTCACTCCTGCTTCTCAGAACCTGAGAACATTTGGGCTACAGGCTAAGGGCACCACCTGGAGGCATCTGTCACACAGAGAAACTGCTCTCTGAGGTGGGGCTGCATCGTTGCCAACATGTGGTCTCTGATAACAGGGCATCCCCAAGGACTTGGCTAGGCCCCTGCACCAGCCATGTGCATTTCAGGAAATAAAACAAGGGCAACTTTTTTCCAAGCTTTAAGTTAGTTCCAGGCTCATGATATAGGACTTTCCTAATGTTTCCTCATTTAAACTACCCACCCACCAACCCTGGGAGACTATTAACCCACTTTGTCAGACAAGGGAAGCAAACATCCAGGCAGGTTAAGAGACTTGTTTGGGACCTCAGTGCTGGTCAATGACATTTGAACCCAGGGTCTGCCGGACACCAAAACCCACACTTCTTCCTGCATCATGCTGCCTGGAGACATTTGGTATCCTTTGGTATCAGTATGCTGGAAGTGGACTTTAGACCGCCCCCTGGTGGACACTGCCTGAGCAAAGACCCCCCAAGCAGCAATGGAGGGTGGGGATAAGAGACCTGGGATGGAAGCCCAGTCACTTCAAACAAGTGACTTTCCTCCTCTGGGCTCCACTCCCCCATCTTTAAGTGGAGGTAATGGTGTTGCCCACCTTGTAGGGAGGCACTGTAGAGGGGTCTTAGCTGGGTATCCTGACTTGGGGAAGTGGCAGGGTGACAGGCAGTTGTGACACCTGACATCTAGGATCTAAGTGACCCTAGGTGGGTCCTTGTCTCGGGACTCAAGTCTCCATGGCACTGCTATAGCTGCTCATTGATGTGCCCTCTGAGACCCTCAAGTCCTGGCATTCCGGGATGGCGCCTCGGCTCTTGGGTGGGGGTGGGGGTGCAGAATCCTCAAGAGCCTGTAATTAGAGCTGTCTATTTAGGGACACAGCAAATGTCTTATTAATTATAAAGAAAGGAAGCAAAGGATTGTTTAATCATTGTCCTTGCTGAAAGGTTATGCAATTAACTGTATAAATATTCATTAAAAGTTCAAGCGCCTGCCTGCTGCGCTGAGGTCTGCAGAAGCCAGGCCCCGGAGGTGGTGTGGATGGCCCAGGGCCCCTGCAGTCATCTGGGCTTTGGAGGGTAGAGTTTAGAGCTGGTTCTGGGTGCCTTCTTTCCTGACAGGAAAGCTGGGCTTGGTGACGAGGGTAGAGGACTCCAGACTCTACCTGTTCTTACGTGCTGACCAGTACCTTGGTCTCTCTGAGCCTCAGTCTCCTAATTTGTAAAATGGAATATTTACCTGTGGTACCCCCACCTTGCTCTACTCCAGGGCACTGTAATACAATGCCCCCCCCCTAGAGTCCACACTCACAGTTGGCAGGGGTTGTGAGGACATACCACCCTTGTGGAACAGTTGACTGACACACTACGGTGCTCAGTAAAAATAACTCCCTTCCAACTTCTCTGTGGAGTCATTTCTCAAGGCCTGCCTCAGAGGTCAATGGATGCCTTGTCCATCCATCCATTCCAGTGCTTTGTTGGGAGCTAGCAAACATCTGGGATACCTGTATCATGGAGTCCTGGTGTGGCGCTGTGGATTAATGCGCTGGACTGCAAAATAGGTTTGATCCTCTTTGTTGGCAATTCAAGCTCACCAGCCACTCGGAAACCCTATACAGGGTCGCTGTGCCATTGAGTTGGAACCAACGCAATGGCACTTAACAACAACAAATACATTTTTATTAGAGTGAATTTAAGAGACCAGTTAACAAGAAGAAGTGCCCTGTATCTTGTAGACTTGTAGAATGTTCACCCGAGCATTCTCAAACCGTGGGTGCAAACGAATCACCAGGGCTGGGGGTTGGGGGTAGGAGGAGTGGTTGCTAAAATGCAGATTCCTAAACTCTGCCCTTGAAGTCTGGATTAAATCACTTAGAACTGAGACCCAAGAACATGCATTTCTCAAAGTCCCCTTGTCCCGCCTTGCTCTGAAGGCACGCTGGGAGACTCAGAGGGTCCCGCCCTGTGTTGGTGGTGGACGTGCTTCAGAAGGACCTATCTCCCACTCCCAGTCCCCCTCCTCCATATCACCGCCCCCACCCCCAGCACTGCAGACTTTTTAAAATGTCCCTTGAATGTCAGCACTTTTTTCAGAGCACTGCCAGACAGTTGTTTGTAATGGGAAGTGTCTGTAAAATGGCTCTTATGAATGTTGTGTTCCCAAGCTTTATGCTTCCTAACATGTATTCTGAGGCTACCTGTGCGAGTCACACTTGGGGAGTCCAAGGGGCTCTTCTCCCAGGGCAGGGCAAGGCTCTGGGGAGTCTTAGCTCAGACACCTGCCCCCGTCCCAACTGTGTCCTGTTCTGCAGACTTGGTGGCCATCCAGCCTAGCTGTGGAAAGAAGAGGAGTTTGGTGGTACAGTGGGTTAAGCATGGGGCTGCTAACAGCAAGGTGAGCCATTCAAACTCACCAGCTGTTCTGTGGCAGAAAGATGAGGCTGTTGTCTGTGCCTCTAAAGATTTATAGTTTCAGAAACCCTAGGAAACAGTTCTACTCTGTCCAGCAGAGCCGCTGTGAGAAGGAATGGACTCGAGACAGCAGCGGGTATAGAAGGAAAAGAGACAACAAATCTGGGGAAGAGGCAGGAGTGGCCTGCTGCCCTGGGGAGAGATGGACCTTGCCCAGGTTCTGACCTCAGACAAAGCTGACTTTGAATCCCCTGGCGCTCCTTGACCACCGGGTCTGATACACAGCAGTGCTCAAAAAACACCCACTGGAAAATAAACAACCTCGAAGCTCTCCAATACATGGCTAATAATAATAGTTGTCACTTCTTGGGCAGTTCTATGTGTTTTTGTTGTTGTTAAGTGCCGTCAAATCAGTTCTGACCCACAGTGACCCTGTATAGGGTTTCTGAAGTTACAGGTGTTAATTTTGTCATCGTAACAATCCAATGATGCAGATGATTGTTGGCAAAGGGCCTGAGTACTGAAGTACGTTGTTGGCCAAAGTTTGCACAGGCAGAGAGTGTTGGAGCCAGGATTTGAACCCAGGCAACCTGCTGGGGCAACAACAACATGACAGTTGCTGTTGTTGCCTTTGAGTTGGTTCCGAATCATAGCAACCCTGTATAGAGTTTCCAAGCAGTGGCTGGTGAATTGAATCACTGACCTTGCTGTTCAAGCTGCCTTTTCAGTCCAGTGCATTATCCCACAGTACCACATGCTGTGTGCCTGCTGCTGCTGAATCAGTTCCGACCCATAGCAACCCTGTAATAGGGTTTCCAAGGAGTGGCTGGTGAGCTTGAATGGCTGATTGGTGTTGTCAGTATGTGCTGTGGAGTCGGTTCTGACTCATAGTGACCCTATACAGGGTTTCCGAAGCTGTAAATCTTTATGGGAGCAGAAAGCCTCATCTTTCTCCTGTGAAACAGCTGGTAGTTTCAAGCTGCGGACCTTGCGGTTCAGAGCTCGATTCGTAACCACTACTCTACTAGAGAGGGAAGGTTAAATGGATGTATCTAACTCCATGCCTGGCGCTTCCGAGAGATCATGAACGTGGTCTCTTGTGTGCCCTTAGAAGGCAGTGAGGAGCCAGCCCTGGAAGTCTGGGATGGGCCTACCTCATGCGGCCCAGGAACCCAGGACAGGAGCTGCTATCTCCAGCCTTGAACTGGGTTTTCATTCTTTATTCCAAGTTGAGAATCCACCCTGGGGCTCCAGGCCCCTGATTGAGTCAGCCTATGCTTGCACTGCAGTAATTATAGCTGTGAGGTCCCACTGGGCTCGGCCAGGCAACGCTGCTCTCGTCAGCATCACTGAGGGAGAGGGGTCTTCGGGGCCTTGGTGAGCCCACCAGTCTACAGACTTAGTTCATAGAGTCATCGATCTGGAGGGCAAACTGAAGTTCAGTTAGTGTATCTTGTCCAGGGGCACCCAGCTGGGAAATAACAGAGAAATGCACTGGGTATGATGGCTCCATGCTGCTAGAACTCAAAGGTTGAGCCCTAGAAGGATGGGAGATGGGACAGATGTGGCAGGCAGGGGGACCAGGAGAGTGTGTTATATAGACCAACTGATGGGGTCAGATTTCGGATTTTATCTACCTGAGAATTAGAGTCCTAGGGGTAGACAAAGGACCATTGGTGTCACAATGGTTAAAGTTCTTGGCTGTTAACTAAAAGGTCAGCAGTTCAAACCCACTAGCCACTCTGGGAGAAACCTGTAATCAGCATCTGTAAAGATTACTACAGCCTTGGAAACCCTATGAGGCACTTTTTCTCTGTCATATAGGGTTGCTATGAGTTTGTTTTGGTTTGGTTGTGAATTAGGGGCAAAGGAGCCCTGGTGGCCTATCAGTTAGTTCGGTGCTTAGCTGCTAACTGAAAGGTTGTAGCTCAAACTTACCCAGCAGCTATGTGGAGAGAAATGAGCTGGCAATCTGCTCCCATTAAGATTGCCACCTAGAAACCCTCTCGGGACGGTCTTGCTCTGTGCCATGGGGTCAAAATCTATTATTTAATAACAATGGGGGCTTCTTCTCGAAGGAAGCTTCTCAAATGAAGGTGGCTAGAGCCAGGCAGTAGGATTGATTAATGTCATGTCTGTGCCTGCCTTGGCTAAACCGTGCACATGTGTCTGTCTGTCTTTGCAGCCAAGCAGGTGTGCCCACCAGAGAAGCTGAGCTGTGGACCCAGCAGCCACAAGTGTGTGCCCGCCTCATGGCGCTGCGATGGGGAGAAGGACTGTGAGAGTGGAGCGGACGAGGCTGGCTGTGCTACCCGTGAGTCCGGGCTCCAGGGCCCAGGCTCTGTCAAGCATGGCAGGCAGCCTCAGGGAGCTGCTTCAGGGGAGTGGGAGGTACACAGGAAGGATGATGACCAGGGCACGAGTACTGGCCAGGCACTTTGGAAACATTTCTTTCATCCTCACTACCACCCCAGGAATAGCCATCATCATCCCCATTTTATGGATGAGGAAACTGAGGCTCAAACAAGGGAGGGACAATGCCGAAGGCTAAGGAGTGGAACTGAGATGCAAATTCAGGTCGGGACAGCACAGCCCGTGAATTTTCTACCACGTCTGCCATCTGCCCATCCATTCCATAAGTCTCTACTGACCTCCTAGAGAGAACAGGGCGGCTGGGGAGGGGCCAGAGCCAGAATTGGCCCTGGCAGTGTCGTAGGGGAGCAGGGGATGATTCCTAAGGTGTAAAGGATGACTGTTGCTTAAATCTCAAATCCGGGCACTAGTGTCACAGAGCGGCAGGGAAGACATTCCTACAGCCTCGGCAGGGACAGATGGAAGTGGTCACTGGGACAGTTCCACATGACTGAGCTTCAAACACAGGATTATCTCCCTCCCAGGAAGAGGGGCTGGCAGGGCCTGGGCCAGCAGGGAGCGTGGCCTGGTCTCATTTCAATTCGATGGGCACTGACTGTGTGCCAGGCCTGGAGCCAGGCTGCCTCTGGGAGCTCACAACAGTCAGTAACTAAACAGGGAGGCTAGGCTCAGATACAGGCAGCCACTGAGGAGAGCTTTCACCAAACGCTTGCCCACATCCATTCCCCTCCACAGGCCTCTACATTGGCATGTTTCCTGTAGAAACGCCACTTCCTCCAGAGGCTTCTGAGTCACAGCATTCTAGAATTCTACGTCTGAGATTTCAATGATTTCAAAGATACTGGCCTGGCAGTTTCAAAGCCCCATAAGTGCATTGGCTTGTTTCTTCAGAGCTGATGATTTTACTGGGCCTCACTGGTCAATAAGAACCCTGCCTGGGTCCTCTTCCCTCTTCGATGCCCTATGGCCAGTTTTTTTTTTTTTCTCAGCTACAAAAGCCACCAGTCATTACTGCAGAAGGCAGAAGTGTCTCTAACTAGGGCACATAGTGGTAGAAGCATTCCCCATTAATGATGGACAATTATTGGGCTTTACTGGCTTTTTCTCTGCTTCAGCTCCCAACCACCTGAGCAGAAGAGAAAGAATTCTTCCATCTTCCCTCAGTATCTCAGAGTTTCTTCTGTTTGAGGGTAGGGTCCCCAGGTATAAGCCTGAGACCATAGATCTTAAAGTTCTTGTTTGCTCCAATAACTTGCAAAGAATGAAGTACAAAGAAGCATTTCCCACGAGAACGCCCCCTCCCTTGAGCAGTACAAGCCAAGGCTGGACAGGAAGGAGGGGAGCTAACGAGACATCAGCATAATCTTGGGGGAGGCTGGTGTCATGGGGTAGCATGTGTCTTACCCACCAAGGCTCCAACATCCCAAAAGCCCAGAAGGGAAAAAATTGCAGCTGTCAGAATCGTGATAGAACTGTCAAAAGCACATGGCATGAACTGCCTACATGGTGAAACTAAAGACATCACTCTGTTATGTTCAATAACAATGAAAATTGCTATTTTTTCCGTCAGAAAATAAAAACGCAGGCTCTCGGTGCCCCTAGGTGGACAGACTTGGTACTACCATGATCAAATTCCCTAGAATTAAAGCCACATCCAGACCCTCCCTTCTTGGGCCTTCAGGCCTGTGCTTGGTTAGGTGTGGATGGACAACCAGGGAGGGAAGGAGATGAGCAGGTCACTCCATTGCAAAGAGCTTACACTCCGGGATGGGAGGAGAAAACCGGAAAAACTAATACGAGGAGTCAGTAGGAAGGGAAAACCCCAAACCCAAATTCTGGTTCAGTCCTCATCATAGACTGACTGTGACCTGGGGCAAGTCCTTTCCCTCTCTGCGCCTCAGTTTCCCCATCCATAAACTGAAAGTTGGGCTGGCTGCTCCCTAAAGCTCTCCCAGCACCTGAACTCACAGCAGCCCACCAGAGAGGGAAACCCAAGCCCTCAAGCGGAACCAGTGGGCTTCACTGTTAATTACCCCTCATGCCTGTGGTCTGTTCAGTGCCCATCCACTCCACACCTGCTCACAGAGAGCTCTGTGCCAGGCCCAGGGACAGCGTGGGTTGGTCTTGGTGGCCATCCCTGAGGGGCTTGTGGTCATAAAGCAGACAGGGAAGGACATGAAACCCAGACACCTGAGCCACCTTCAAAAGGAGGGCAGAGGAGAGGGAGCTTCCCAAGCAAGAGGGCACCAGGCACGCCCGAGAAGGAGGTAGGATTAGGGTAGCTAAGAGCTAAGATGCATCACTGAAATGGACCTAGAGGTGGGTGCCCAACACATGGAGCACTTTCCAAGAGCATCACAAGGCGTCCTACTGGCCCACTAGCCGCAGGGCAGGATGTCTTGCTATCATTTACCCACTGAGGCCTGTGAGACTCAGAGTGGGCAATTGTGTTGCCCAAGGTCACCCAGCTGGCTGCTCTAGGCCACAGCTCCCAGCAGATTCATGCTGGCGCAGAGTGAGGGTCAGGGCCCCTGCAGCGGGTCTGGCCAGGATGGGGTCCAGCGAGCCGACCGGCTCTCTGTCCCGCGCAGTGTGCGCCCCGCACGAGTTCCAGTGCAGCAACCGCTCGTGCCTGGCCGCCGTGTTCGTGTGTGACGGCGACGACGACTGTGGTGATGGCAGCGATGAGCGCGGCTGTACCCACCCGGCCTGCGGGCCCCGAGAGTTCCGGTGCGGCGGCGACGGCGGCGCCTGCATCCCCGAACGTTGGCTCTGCGACCGCCAGTTCGACTGCGAGGACCACTCGGACGAAGCAGCCGAGCTGTGCGGCAGGGCGGGCCCCAGGGCCACCGCCGCGCCCGCCGCCTGCGCGCCCGCCGCCCAGTTCGCCTGCCGCAGCGGCGAGTGCGTGCACCTGGGCTGGCGCTGCGACGGCGACCACGACTGCAAGGACAAGTCGGACGAGGCCGACTGCCGTAAGCCCCCTCGCCCCACCGACTCGCCCCTGCCCGCTGCCTCCGGGCCCTGGGGCTGCGGATCCGCCCGGAAAGCATTTTCTGATTTCCGAGGTGGGGAAAGTTCCGTTCAGGTGGAGTGCAGGTCTATCTCCAGAGCGTCCTCAAGGCTACCTGTGCCTGGGGGTGGAGTGGGGATGGAAGGTGACCCCTCCCTGAGATTCCTTTCACCCTCTGCCCTTCTCCTGCGGATACCCTTAGAAACTTCTCCACCCTCCTTGGTACTGCTGACTCCTAACCCTCTCTGCTGGGTTGGACCCCTCCTCTGGGTACCTGAGGAAATTCAGTCCTCAGTCCCTCTGCATCCCGAGTTCCTAGAGGAGGGGGGTTATGCCAAGTTGTCTCTGAGCTCCTGACTCCCTGCTCAAGAAGGGTCTGCCAGATGAGCTATTAAGCAGAGTGTACCAAGATGCAAATGAGAGCTAACAAGCTGCCCTAAGGGAGTCACTGGGGACAGGCAGTGGATGGAAAACAGGAGACCTGAGTTTTTGTCCTGGCACTGCCACTTGGGCAAGGCCCTTCCCCTCTCTGAGCTTCAGTCTCCCCATCTGTACATTGGCGGTGCCTTGGCCCGGTCCCCTTGGAGGACCACCAAAACTCAGCCACTCTCGTCTGTTCCTGCCAGGGGTGGGCATGGCTCTGGATGGGGAAGATACTGTTGATCCTGACCCTCCCCTACTGCTCTCCCGGCAGCGCTAGGGACCTGCAGTGGGGATGAGTTCCTGTGCAAAGATGGGACTTGTGTCCCTGCAATGAAGCGCTGCAACCAGGAGCAGGACTGTGCCGATGGGAGTGATGAAGCCGGCTGCCTGCAGGGTGCGTGGGGCAGGCCAGGGGACTGGGTTTCCAGGACAGAGGGGCTCTCCCTTTGCTCTGGAGAAAGAATGGTGAGATCTCCCCTTGCGCCCTGCAATGTGTCTGACCCTAGAGTATCACTGACCCCTAAATCACCTGGATTCTGTCTCCTGGGGTACAAGTGGTGCCAGAACTGAATTTCTAAGGATTTTGCAAAAGCCAAAAGAGACCTAGGGGCATGTGAAACGCACCACAGGAAATCCATTCCCCCCACTCATCCCTGTCCAACCTTCCTAGTAGCCGACTGAGTCTTGCTCACCTAGGAGCCCCTTTAATTATCAAATGGCTCTTCTAATCACCCCACTAATAGGAACGGGAATCCTGCCACACTGGTCACCTGGAGGAATGGTAAGGAGTGGGCAGTAAGGCACCCTCTCCTATCCAGGATTGTGGGGTAAAGCTCCTCCCTCAGGAGCTTGCAGGGTCCCTAGATCAGACCCAGACTCATAGTGTTGCCCAGCTAGATGCTGCTCAGATGGCCGTGAGGTCCTAGTCAGGCCTTCTATGAGCAGCGCACCCACAGCCCTGCCTGTGAGCTGTCTGTTCTGGAGACCAGCAGGACCTGGGACTGGCACTCCATAGCCTCCATGGAGCCAGACCCTGTCTCAGCCCTTCTTGCCCAAGGCCTCACAGGTATTATCCACTCTCTTGTCTGGCCTGACAGAGTCTACCTGTGAGGCTCCCCGCAGATTTCAGTGTAAGAGTGGCGAGTGCGTGGACGGCGGGAAAGTGTGTGATGCTCAGAGGGACTGCCGGGACTGGTCGGATGAGCCTCAGAAAGAGTGTGGTACAGTACCTGTCTGCTCCATGCCAAATTAATCCTCCCTTGCTCCCTACTCCTGACTTCGGGCTCTTGGCCCTCCTCACTCACCTGTACTTCCTTGCCTTCTGTTCTGGCTCTCTCTCTGGATTCAGGCCCTGTCCTGGGGCCTCTTGCTCTGCCACCCCTACCAGACTCAAGGCCTTTCCCTCCTGGCCTGAATGCTCTTAAGACTGCTTCCTTTCACAAGCCTGGTCTCTGCTCCTCACTCCTTCCACATTTAAACTCTGAGCGTGTGCTTACTCTGGCACTTTCTCTCGTCCTCGATGTCCCTGCCCTGATGAACTAGTCAAGGCCCTGACCTCTGAGGACTCCCAGGCCCCACAAGAGGCCCTGTAGTGGGAGAGGTGTGGAACAGGAGGCAAGTGGCCAGTTGAGATACATCCCAGAGCTATCTGGCTTCCTCCAGGCCTGGGTGAGGTAGGTAGACCCAGTCATAGGAAATGACACCATCCTCGGCCTATGGAACTCAGAGTGGCTGGGAACACCAGACTTACAAGCTAAACAGGCTTAAGAAACTGACGGAGGGAGCTGCCCTGATGTCTAAAAATGTCACGGTGGGCTCCAGGCTAGAAAGAACAGGAAAGGCTAACCAAGTGGTAAGGTGGACATCCCAGAGAACATTCAAAGATCAAGTCATCCCTCTGTAGATACCATGAGGTCAGAGATGGAGAGAGATTTGGCCAAAGACCCCCAGGGAAGAAAGAGCCTGGATCAGCCCCTCCCTCCCTTACAAACCTGCTTTTGCCCCTCACCAACCCTCCTGAAGGCTCAGAGGAGCTGATGCTGCAGAGCTTCCCTGGAACGGCATGTTTCCTTTTCCTTTTGAAGATAAAGAACTCATTTTGACAGGAAGAATACATGGGCAAAATTCACTCAGCCTCCACCTGGGCTTGTAGGAGAAGACACACCGCTGCCCCCACCCCACCACCAAACACACACACACACACACACAAAGGACCTGCCAAGAGAAATCTCAGGAGGCAGAACCAAAGGAAAAGGGAGACAGGGCTCAGGAGCAGCTGTGTCTCACCACCCTCCCCTCCCACCTCAGTGCTGACCTGCTAAACTCTCGGCTTTCCCCTTTTGCATGGCTCACCGAGAGACGTATGCGTGCATGTGTTTGTGTCTGTGTGTGCCCTCTGTGTCCCTGTGTTAGTGAGAGGACAGTCTCTGCTGTGCCCATGACCCCCTGAATAAGACAGGGGCATGCATGCATCTGTCTCCGCGTGTGTCCCATGTCTACGAATATGCCTGTGGAGTCGGTGGCCCATCTGCCTCTGCACGTGAGCTTGTGTGTGCATGCAGGTGTGTGCATGGGCTGGGGAAAGTGGGAAAATTCCTTCTTTCCAGGGCAGCCTCAAATTCTCTCAGAACTTAGACCCCCCAGATAGACTCCCCAGCAGAATCACCTCAGGCTGGAATGGGGAAGAACCAGAAACTTCCCATTAGCGTCACTCTCCATGCTGGCTCAGGACCTGGGCAGGCCACCCAGGGAAGGGGGTGACAGGGATAGAACAGTCATTAAGCTCTGCTGCTTGCACAAGGGGGTGAGGAAGTGAATGGGTGCATGAATGAAGCAGTGGGTGTGTTAGTGAACAAATGAATGGATGGTACCAGTACCAGAGAGTTCAGGGAGATCTTGGAGTGTCGGAAAGATTCCCGCAGGGAGCATCCCCTAACTACTGTGGCTCAAGAGACAAGCTTCCCAGTCCTGGATCTGACACTGGGTCACCTCCCCTCCCCTCCACCCATGGCCACCCAGTCATGGGGTTGCTGTGGTCTTGTTCTTTCAGCTTCTCCAACGTCCCGGGGAAACAGAAGGAGGCCCAGGGGTAAAGGGGACATTCGCTAAGCATGGCTCAGCCTGGAGGTGGGGTGCCCACAGCTGTGCATGGCCTGGGGCGGGCTGGCTCAGCTCAGCTTGGTTGCAGTGTTGGCGCTTGTGTCTGGTGGGCAGAGGGGAGGGTGTGGCCCCTCCCTTGGCTTGCAGAACTAACCTGCTGTGTGTGATTCTGGAGCTCTGGGGACACTGTGAGAACTTGGCGAGCTGTGTTCTTGGTCTCCCAGACTTCTCCTAGGGCCCCGCCAGAAGGCGGTAAGGAAGCTGGGTGGGGGTGGGAGGGGGGCAGGGGCACCAGGCTCATGACTGAGTGTAGGAATAGGAGCAGGTGTCAGGAGGAGAGCAGGTGGAAAAAACAATGCATTGTATTCCTTCAAGGTGGGAGAGAAATGACTTGGGAGTAGCTCCTTGTTTAAAAAAAAAAAAAAAAACAAGGGAGGCCTGGGAGTCTCAGATTAAAAGAAGCTTAATAGGGACCACCCTGTATTCAGGGAGATTAACGCTGCATCCTGCCCAGACGGGGTGCGTCTACAGAAAGGAACCTGAATGGCAGAGGACTCAAAACCAGTGCTCTGAGGAGGAGATGCTGAGGGAGTATCTGGACCCAAGCCAGCCCCACACAGCAGAGCAAGAACAGGCGACTGGGAAGCAGTGAGCTCTGCAAGATTCTGGGAGTGAACGTTGGGCCTACATGCAGGTCCCTTCAACTCTGAGGTCACCAAGAAGGAGTCATTGCAAGAGACATGTTTGTGAAAGCAGAGGTTTTAGGCTCACCCAGGAAGGCCCAGCTGCCTCCAGCCTGGAGCTATACCTATACCGGGACCTGAGTTCTGATTCCATTCTCCCCCCATCCTGTGTCTGGCCTTGATCAAGTGCCTGTCCCTCTTCTTGCCCAGTCAGCGGGTTGATGAAGGGGAGGCTCAGGGAGATGGCAGAACCCTCCAGGCTTTAGCATTGTGGGAGTCCCGCTGCTTCTGCTCTAGGCCCCACCCTGCCCTGGCCCGACCCCAGCTTGGGCTCCTGGACCCTCAGGCCTGCATCCCTCCCCAGGACTGAACGAGTGCATGCACAACAATGGAGGCTGCTCCCACATCTGCACAGACCTCAAGATTGGCTTTGAGTGCACGTGCCCAGCAGGCTTCCGGCTCCTGGACCAGAAGACTTGTGGTGGTGAGCCCCTCCCCCGCCCCCCAGTAGAGGCAGATGCTCCTGCCGGTTCTGACGCCTGCTCCTCCCCACAGACATTAATGAGTGCGAGGACCCAGACGCCTGCAGCCAGATCTGTGTCAACTACAAGGGCTACTTTAAGTGCGAGTGCTACCCAGGCTATGAGATGGACACACTGACCAAGAACTGCAAAGCTGTTGGTATGGAGCCCCCAAGGTGGGAACAGGGTCACGGGAAGCAGCGTGCTTCTGTTATGCTGGGAGGGGATGTCCACAGGCTACACACGCTGCTTGAAGCGGGAATAGACCTCACACACACCCCACACCACACACTAACTGTACATCGCAGTCCGCTCAACCCACAGAAACAACACTCATTCAACTCGCAATGTATAGACACAAACTGACTGCGACCACGCAAAAACATGCAGACCTAAACACTACATACTGCTCAATTCTATCAACCGAATTCATTCAATTGACTCCGTTGTTTATATTGAAAACCTAACTTAACTGTAGGCACTGGAGATTCAACATAAACAAAACAGACACAAATCCCTGCCAGCCTTCCATGAGGCTTACATTGCAGTCAGGGAGACAGATAAGAAATAAGATTAAAAAGTGAAATGGAAATCATGGCAGCTGTGGTAAGGACTAAGGGGATTAAGAAAGTAGGGAAGGGGCTAGGACCCAGGAGGGCAGTTGGCTGCAGTTTCAGATAGAAGTAAGGCAGTACTGGGAGGATAATATTGAAATCCTGAGGAAGCAGTGAACCCTGAAATGATCTGCAAGAAGGGACAAAGTGCAAAGGCTCTGAGGCAGGAGTCTACAGGTGAGGAAGCCAGTGCTCACAGAGCAAGGAGAACAGAGCATAGAACCAGAGAGGTGACTCGTGCAGATTGCATAGAGCTGTCTAGGCTGTTATAAGGAGCAGCTGTGGATTTCACCTTAAGTCAGAGGAAGCCAGTAGAGATTTGTCAGGAGAGGAGGGCATGGTGTGACTTACGCTTTATCAGGCTCCCTCTGTTGAGACTAGCAGGTTGGGGACTAGAAAGATGCAGGGAAGCAATTTAAGAGGTTATTGCAATAATCCAGAAGAGAGCTGATGAGGACTCAGACCAGAGTGGTGCAGGGGGAGTAACGAGGAGTAGACAGATTGCAAATCTTTAAACTCTGAAACTCATCCAGTAGGACGTGAATGGGGGGATATGGAAGAAAAAAGTGCATCAAGGATGACTCCCAGGCTTTAGGTGAACATATGAGAAGTAAGATTGATATGAATGGAAGAGAGAGAAGCAAGGTCAGTGGATGGTTAGACTGTTAAGGATGTGTTAAGCTGAAGAAAATCGGTAGGCATCCCAGCCGAGATGTTGAGTAGGCGCTTAGATGTATGAGTCTCATATGAGTCTGGAGTTTAGATGCATAAATATAGTATATAACACAGAGATTATTCCAACACAGCAACCACAGTACTTGACCTGTAGTTCAACCCCAAAAACATACCACCCAAACTGCACAATATCCACACAGACGTTAGCACATCTCAGGTAACATGTAGCCATGTGGAGTGTGTAATACACAGATTATGTAGGAACAGTGGAGACAATATATGTACAAAGCCCGTCCTCACAAATACCTAAAGTGTACTTACACAAACTCAGCTCATACACAGGGTGCCTGTCAGTCACAGATCTCAGTAGAAGTCACCTCAGATAGCCTGGAGCCCAGCTCCTACCTTCAGGAAGGTAAATACCACAGCTGTCATTTAGAGGCCAGGAGGTTCTCAAAGTTTCTCAGAGGCAGAGCTGGGCCTAGAGTCCAGCTTGCCTCCTTGCCCTTTCCTCCTCTGGGAGCCCTGTTTGTCTGTGCCCCCTCCCTTCGTCTCCCACCTGCTCTGAAATAGTCTCCACCACCACACACCGCTCACACACCTATCTGGAATCTCCAGGGCTCAATGCTTCTCCCACCCTGCCCCTGGGGAATGCATGATCCTGGCCCAGATGTACAGTGATGGGGACCAGGTTGCGGGCAGAAGTGTCCACTGGAAACCAAGAGTGTGAGATGGCAGGCACCTCCAGGGACAATCACTCAGACAGCAGTGATTCCTGAGAGTGGCCATAGGCATCTAATGAGAGGCTAGGGAAGCCAGGCTAGGCCCCCATTGGTTCTGGACAATGGCCAGGAATCTAGGTTACTGATGGTCTTCCTAAAATCTAATCATTTGTCAAATATGTCCCATCCCTCCACTGGCTCAGGACAAAGTCTAGACTTCATCCAGCTCACAGGGTGCTTCGTGATTGACCCCAGTCAATCTCAGCAGCCTCATCTCTTGCTGTGTCTTCACATCCACTCTGCATAAACTCACATCTCCCAACAACCTCCTTGAGGAGTCTCCCCACTCCAGTCTCAGCTCTGGTCCTGCAGGCTGTCATCTCTCCTGAAGCCTCAGTCATCTTTCTCAGACATTTGTTTGCTCAGGTGGCCCCCTTGGATAAGCAGTGGGTCCCCAAATAGAAATAGGGTAATTATTAGGGAGAAATAGTATTTGAGATGAAGGGAACAGCTTCAGCAAAGGCTCCCAAGGCACTGAAGCCTATCATTGCAAGGTCAGGATAGGCAGTCAGGTGACTGGGGTCAAGATGTGTACAGGAATGAGGGAGCTCAGGGCCACCTGTGGAAAGCCTTGAGTGCAGACCCCAGATGGAAATGGGAACTTATAAACAACTTTGGGAATCCTGGTGTGGCGCTCTAGGATCAGCACTGAATTGCAAGGTCGAAGTTTCAAACTCACCAGCCAGTCCTTGGAACCCCTATACAGGTTCGCTAAGAGTTGGAACCAACTTGACAACCCTTAACAACAAATGACTTTGAGGGAGTTTGTTTCTAATAAGAATAGAAATCCTACTGTTAAGTGTGATATTTTGCACCTTATGGTTTCTATACCTACTTTTCATCTGCTTCTCTAACCTGTGAGGTAGGAATTATCCCTATTTTATAGGAAAATGAGGCATCATGGGAAAGGTTTTGCCCACATCACCCAGCAAATCAGTGCAAAGTCTTAGTCTCCAGATTCCAGGCCTCTCGGTGACCATTTCTCTCCCACCCTCCCTGTGTGGCAGCTGGCAAGAGCCCGTCCCTAATCTTCACCAACCGGCATGAGGTGCGGAGGATCGACCTGGTGAAGCGGGATTACTCGCGCCTCATCCCCATGCTCAAGAACGTCGTGGCGTTGGACGTCGAGGTTGTCACCAATCGCATCTACTGGTGTGACCTTTCCTACCGCAAGATCTACAGGTGAGCAGCCTGGTGTGGGGCTTCTGATGGAGGAGCCAGGCAGGGCCATGTGGAAGGGTGACTTCTGTACCTCCTCTGCCCCAAGGATCCCCAGGACACAGTTGGGGCTTGGGAAGGGACACTTGGAACCAATAGAACCTCACCCCCTGGGCCCACCTGCAACTTTCTGTCTCCTACTAAATTGAGCTGTGGGGAGAGCAGCTGTGGGCCCACATAGCTGGGCTTTCTCCAGCAGCCTGTTGGGAACGTGCAAGACACAGGAGATGTTCAGAAAGGAAGAGATCCCTGGCTTTGGGGAGGATTTCAGACAGCGATCAACTCTGTGTGGTGGATCACACACAGCTTGTCCCTGCCTAGAGGATCCCACTCATAGCATAGTGCCACCTATGAGAGGAAGTACAGAGGAGGTCTCAGGACGTCTCCTGACAACACTACTCTCAGTCCAACCCTTCAGGGAACCTGTGGTCAGAGGACTGTGTCAATTAGGAAGACCATCTCTTAAGTCTGTTCCTACACTCAAGGAGGTTCCTCCCTGTCTCTGTCAGATACCACAAGCCTGCCTCCCTCATGTCCGGCTCCCCTTCTGGAAGGCATCATGTTCTCACTTTGTCCTGAAATCTACCAAGCAGGAATGCTGCTGACTAGACACTGACTGATGGAAGGATTGATAGTATGAATGCATGGATGGATGGATGGATGATGGTGGATAGATCGATGGATAGAAGCAAATGTACCAAATGGCAACTAGATACCTACCCCTAATGCAAAGACACACTCAGCCCACACTCACACACCCAGAAACAGAACTAGCTCAGTTCCTGCCAATAGTGGTAACTAAAAGGCAGGGTTTGATGGCACACTGGATGTGTGGGGCAGGAAGAAGAGTCAGCGTTAGCTAGGAGGTTTTCTGGTCGGCAGTGCTGTTCTCAGATGGTATCTTGGTTCTCTGGTACTGCTATAACAAATACCACAAGTGGGAGGCTTTAACAAACAAATATATGTTCTCACCGCTTAGGAGACTAGAAGTCCAAATTCAGGCTACTGGCTCTTGGGGGGAAGACTTTCTCTCTGTCGGCTCTGAAGGAAGGGCCTTGTTCCTTAACAGTCTTCCTCCATCTTTGCTTGCTGGCTTGCTTGTTCAATCTCTTTCATATCGCAAAAGAGATTGACTCAAGACACACTCTGATCCAGCCTCATGAAATCACAATGATAGTCCATTCACAAATGGGATTATAACCACACACATAGAGGTTAGGATTCAGAACACATGTTTTGGATACATATAATCAGTCCATAACAGATGGGAAGTACTGCAGGAGGAACAGGGAATGTGCTAGGCAGTTTGTCCCATTTGGCTGGAAGTTGAAGTGTAAGCCATTTGGACATGTTAAGTTGGAAGGGTGTGTGGAGCTGTCAAGGGGAGCTGATTAGCTTTATAGTCCAGAATCTAAGAGAGTTGTCTGCCTTGGAGATTTGGGAGTCAGAGAGTTCTGGGTAACAGTGAACGTTGCAGAACTAATCACCCAGAGAGAGGGTGCCGAGGAGAAGGAAAAACAGCATATGGGAGATAGAAAGTCCTACGAATGTTGTCTATGTGTCTCCTGTGCTTTCGGCCTCTTTTCCGTTCTCAGTGGCACGGCTCCCATTCAGACCCTTTTCTTCTCTCCCTTGGATGCTGTGACAGCCTCCCAACCAGTCTCCCTGCCTTTACCCTCTCCCCTTCCTGGCATCTTCTCAGATTCCACATTTCATGCATTTCTGATGGTGTCCTCTGACGTGTTTTAAACCATTCAATAATCACCCCAGGATAGTGTCCTCATTCCTTAGCATGGCTCTCAAAGCCCTCAAGATGGGGCCCTGCCTACACTTATCCCCAGTCTTACATCCCGCCCAGACCCTCCCTCATAGGCAGCCCCACTGAACATCTCACTTTTGCAAACATTCTCACCTCTAGATTTTTGTGTGTGCTGTTCCCTCGGCCTGAAATGCCTTTCTGTCTGTCCTATGTGAACGAATCCTTTAGGACACACACAAAGTTGTTCCCATTTCTCTGCTGCCGTAGGTTCTAGTGTCTCCTGTAATCACACTGCCTCATAATTGTCTGGCTGCAAGTGGCCATCCCCACTAGGAGTTCCTCCAAGCCAGGAACAGTGGCTAGTTCAAGCCTGTAACCCCACCCTGGCAGCCCAGGGAGTACGTGTTGCATGGAAATTAGCCATGTTCCTGGCCTAGAGGAGAAGAGAAGGGTCACAGCTGGCTCCTCATGGGCCTGTGAGTGGAACACCTGCCTCATGGTTGCTTGTAGTGCCTACATGGACAAGGCTAGCGACCCAGCAGAGCAGGAGGTCCTCATTGATGAGCAGCTGCACTCTCCAGAAGGCCTGGCAGTGGACTGGGTCCACAAGCACATCTACTGGACTGACTCGGGCAATAAGACCATCTCAGTGGCCACAGTGGACGGTGGCCGCCGATGCACTCTCTTCAGCCGGGACCTGAGTGAACCCCGGGCCATCGCTGTCGACCCCCTGCGAGGGTGAGTGTGCACCCTCAAGCCGTCTATTCTCCCACCTCATTCCTCATAGTCTGGTGCAGGCCACGAGGTCCACTCCATCTGGTCATCCCTGACCCGGGGTTCTTGGTGCATTGGTCATCAGGGTTCTCACTCATTACATCAGGGCTCTGGAGAAGCTCCTGAGGCAGAAAGCCTTTCCTGAGGCTGCTGGTAGCTGCTTGTATACTTTCGACGACAGAGAGCTCATTACTTCCCATAGGGCCTGTTGCATTGTTTTTAGAACTTTTTGTTTTGTTTTGTGTTGTTTTCTCTGTGTCCCCAAATCTGCCTCCCTGGGAATTCCTCTGTTGGCCTCTAGAGTTGAATAAGCATACCCACTCCCTGCCCTACACGGTAACCAGCAAGCTGGGAGGGAGGACCAAGATCACTGGGTCTTCTCTGCTCCAGGTGCCTACCTCCATCCTCCATCCCTGAACCCATCGCCCAGTCTCGGGCCCTTCACCACCCAGGCTGCGCTGCTCTGACCCACACCTCAGTATTGGGGCAGGAGTTCTGAACGGAACAGGACAGCCTCCACTCAACACATACACACACACACCTTCTTCAGTAATGATGTCCCCAGCATTGGTTTTTCAGCAGCTGTGGCATTGCAGGTTAATGCGCTGGACTGCAAGGTCAGTTTGAACTGCAAGGTTGGTGGTTCAAGCTCACCAGCCGCTCATAAGAACCCTATACAGGGTCACTCCACGGCACTTAACAACAACAACAACATCATACTTCGTTTACCAGGATCACCCACTTCCTTACTGGTGTTTTCATTACCCGTTAAACCCTGCGCTGCCAGCAAGGGCAGCTGGCTGTGGGGTGGCATGAGAGCAGATGCCTGGCCTAGGAAAGTGCCTAACAGCCACAGGGAGGGAGCATGGTAGGTGCCCCACCCAGTTCCAGTTCTCCGTTGATGCTGAGCACCTCCCCTCACCCTCATCTCAGCCCCATCAGTGAGGAACCATTGCTCCCTGTCTGCCCTCACGTAGCTCTGGTACTGCCCTGACATACTCTGTCCCCAAAGCCATATATGAAGGGGCTTTAAAAAGTTCTTGAAGATTTTGAATTAAAAAAGAATGGAATTTGTCCACAAACTTTTTGAAGCCCCCTCATATTTACCCCAGCTCAGCCTGATCCATTGTGAACCAATTTGTCAGGGCCCCAACAGGAAACCTACTGCTAATTATCCTAAAAATTAATAGGATAATTTGAGAAAGGTTTAAAAAGACAGAAAGAACTATTTACAAAGGAGTAGGTAAGAGCTAATAACAGCAGATTCGAGGGGATAAGAGCTGGGAGAGTTACCAGAACTGAGACGGAGAGTGACTTTGAGAGGGTCCCCTTTAAAGCATCAACCAGAAGCGAACGTACATTTAGGGCATCAGGGGGATCCATACTGTGTCCTCAGTCTCTTCCCACCTCCCTGTATGTTACTGAATCCAACTGGAAGCCAGAGGCAAGAGAGCTGGTCCCATGAATGTGGTCTGTAGGGGCCGGCTTTTGAGTGGACAGAGCAGAGTGGGTGGAGGGTGAATATAAATCTGCAGACCTGGAAGGTCTCCAGGACAATCACTCAGCGCCCCAGCCCAGAGTTAGCCTTGACTTGACACCAGGTTTCAGGAAAGCCAGTTTTGGCAAACACAAAGTGCATAGATTTTGGCATCCAGGTGGTTGAATGTGAAGACTCAACTAATGACGCCATCTTGCTGCGGTTGTTGTTAAGTGCCATTGAGTCGGGTCCAATTCATAGCGACCCTGTATAGGGTTTCCAAGGAAAGGCTGGTGGGTTTGAAGCTCTGACTTTGTGGTTAGCAGTCCAGTGCTGATCCTACAACACCATACCAGGAGTTAATCTTAGTGAAGTCATTTTACAGTCAACGTCTCTGTAAAATCTGACTGTTATGAGAAATTGTTGTTTTACTCAGTAAATATTAAATAAACCTACTCTGTGCCATGCATGAATTCCTGACGTAGCTGGTGCTATAGGATTAGCATTGGACCATTAACTACATGTTTACTGATTCAAACCCAGCAGCCGCTGCTTGGAAACCCTATGCAGGGTCGCTATGGTTCGGAACTGACTCAACGGCACTTCACAGTGATGTGCTGTGCACTGACTACAAGGAAGGTACAAAGTGAGAGACAGGACAGATGAGGAGGCAGCCCTTCCGGAGCTCCCAGCGTCATGGGCACCACTGAATCACTGCTGGCTGTGGGAGGAAAGAGGAGGGTGCTTTGAGAGCTAACAGCAGACAAAGCCTTCTTGCATTGAGGGATCAGAGAAAGATTCTCTCTTGAAAAGCCATTTCAGCTGAGAATGAACCGGGGAAAGAGCAGAGGCAGTAGCATTTGCGAAGATCTGTGGCAGGGAGTTGGTGACCCAGAGGCACTGAGAAATGCCCTGTGAGGCAGGTACAGGGTTTGTAAACTTAGGAGGGATAGGTGGAGGGGTAGGCATGCTTAATCCCTGTAATGAGTGGTAAGGTTTTGGGATTTTATTTTAAGAGCAATGGGAAAAGCCACTGCAGCTTTAAAAACGGCAGTGTCTGTAGGGCTGGCATCATGCCGTGCAGTCACTCTATGCCATGGTAGGCACAGCAGCCTCTGCTCCACCTGCCTCAGGGCCCGGCTCTGCGTGGATCGCGCGCCCCCCTCCCCCGCCCCTGAGTGACAATTCGTTTCCATTTGTCAAAGCTCTGTAGACTGTATTAGACTGTATGGACAAATGTAAGAACATGAGGGGAGTCTACTCAGTTATGGCTGACACAGGAAGCACTGCATAAATGCTTCCAGACAAATCAGCAGCGTTGGAAAGTGTTCTCACTTGGATTCACTCTATGACTTTGGGTAGGTCAGCCACTTTCTCCTCTGCAAACTGGGAAGGAAAGAACGTGGATAGGACTGTTCCTATCTGACATTCTAGGGCTCTAGTTAGAGCTGCCAGTAGTGGATGACTGGTCCAGGCCTGGGGGTTGCTGTCACAGAGACTGCCCCCCCAGGAGCTCCAGTGAGGTAGAAGCTGAAGTCCTGCTAATTCTAAGATCTGATGATTCCAATGTATTTCAAACATCTTGCCAGTCACCACAAAAGACACTCCTTGAGTTTTCAGTGGATCATTGATGCAATGTGACCCACACCACTTAATCCTGGCCCCAGACAGCAGTCACACTGGGATCTTCTCTTTTTTAGGTTCATGTATTGGTCTGACTGGGGATATCAGGCCAAGATTGAGAAGTCTGGACTCAATGGTGTGGACCGACAAACACTGGTGTCAGACAATATTGAATGGCCCAATGGAATCACTCTGGGTGAGCCCTACCTTCCTTGGCTTGGAGTCTGTTCTAGCCCCTGGTCCTGACCACTATCCGGAGCTCTATGGTCCCCTCTTGGTGCCAGTTCCTTTGCTCCCTGATTGTTGCCCCAAGCTTGTTTGAGTAAGGCCTGGCTTGGAAAGGTGGGCAGAGAGAGCCACAGAGAAACAGAGATCCAGGCTGAAATCCCAGGCTCATGACCTGAACCCGTCCGTCTCCTTGTCTCCAAGATTTGCTGAGCCAGCGCCTGTACTGGGTTGACTCTAAACTGCATCAGCTCTCCAGCATTGACTTCAGTGGCGGCAACAGGAAGATGCTGATTTCCTCCACAGACTTCCTGAGCCACCCTTTTGGGATAGCAGTGTTTGAGGTGAGCCCCATGGTGGGGAGGCATGGCCCCTCAGGAAGCTGAAGCCCTTACTCAATCAAATAGGACAAGGCCGTGAGGCTGGTCCAAAAGGAAATCAAACAACAGAGGCCAACTGACTTGTTAGTGCAACCTCTGTGAGCAGCCTACGTACAAAGGCTTTGCAAACAGCCACTGTCTGCCTGGCATCCTTGTGTGTATTCCTTTGCCAAGACCCAGCCAGTCTCAGAACACTTCTCTGAGGGTGAGCAGCTAGATCATGTATGTTTCCTCTCTGTACCCGCATCTTCAGAAGGTGCTCAAGAGGGAGGGAGGGAGAGGGAATATGCCTGTCCTTAGAATCATTTCCTGATGGAAATGGTCTGAGATGTGCTACTTAATACGATATGTTTTATTGAGTTTTGCTGGGCCCTGGGGACATAGAAGTGAACCAGACATTTCCCCCATCCTCACAAAGCTCCCAGGAAGTTGAAGACTCTAAATATCTTCCTGTGTTCTGACCCTAACAAACTTTTACCATTGGGGAATGAGGAAGCCAGAACCAACCACCTGCCTCTTCCCTGAAACTACCTACCCCCACAGGGAGAAGGGAGGAGACAGTGGTCTCTGATAGGCATTGGCAATGTTTGTTTGGAGCAACATCAGTCAGCACTGGCTCTGAACTTGTGGGCAAATCCTCATCTCCAAGTCCAGTCCCTGCGTCAAAAGACAGATGTGTGTACAGACACGTGTATGTTTGCTTGTACATCTGTGTGTATGTGTGTAAAGTATGTCTGTGTGCATGTATCAGTATACAAGCGGCATTCCTATATGTGCTGGTGCAGGTGAGTGTTTGAGTATGTACATGGATTTCAGACCAATCCTTATGTTGGTACCTGCCTGTGTGTGAAGAGGAACAATTGGGTATGTGTCTAGACCTGTGCATGAAGATGCATGAATCGAGCCTGGAAATATGGAATTGCCTGTAGATGCACATCTAGACTTGTATGTATTCAGACATGTATACCAAAGGCTGTAAGCGGGAACTGCCCTCAGTAGCCCACACAGACCCTCTAATTTAGTCCCAGGCCCCAGTAATGTGAGACCCAGCCTCGGGTTTCTGCTCGGCATTAAGAAGCAGCCTCACTCAGTATTACTGAGCAGGTTTGTGGCCTTTTAGCCAAAGTAGAGAGTCACAGAATAGCCCTGTGACAGATGGGAACCAGGGAGTATACATCACAGATCAGGGTGCCTCAAGGAGATGTTGGGGTAGTTCTTGTGACTGTGGTTTAGGGCTCTCAGACTGAGATCCTAGATTTAGGCTCGAGGTCTTCCATCCTCTGTACCTGTACCCACAGGACAAGGTGTTCTGGACAGACCTGGAGAACGAGGCCATTTTCAGTGCAAATCGACTCAATGGCCTGGAGATCTCCATCCTAGCTGAGAAACTCAATAACCCACATGACATTGTCGTCTTCCATGAGCTGAAGCAGCCAAGAGGTGAGCCTTCCCCGACCCCTGGTCCCCAGCCATGTCTTCTCCATGAGGCAGCTGGTGCTGACCTCCATGCCAGGTCTCAGCACCCCCAGGAATATAGTAACTGTAAACTTTTTTGTTGTTAGAGCGCTTTGCCATCATATATTGTATTTTGTCTCAAGCTGTTTGTGAAATAAGATTCAATATGAATAAATACACGAATGTCCTGTCTTATCCAATCTCATGAAATGGGTTTCACTGTTCTTATTTAGTAATAAAAACAGAATTGATGTTAGAGGTGATAGCACTAGAACCTGAACTCAGATCCGTCTGGTTCTAGAATTCCTCCTGCCTTTAAACATGGTGTCTCATTTGTTATTTGTACCCATGTTGCAGTAGGGTAAGCTAAAGAATGTATCTTACCTTGGGCCATTCAGTAAGTCAGCCTATTGGTTTGGCGTGGAATCCGGAAATACTACTACTAGGTTTTCTGCTAACTATACCTGAGGTATTGGTTTCCAGGGTAAAGGGGCAAATGGGGTCAGGGGGGATAGGAAATGAAATTGGTACCTGATCCTAAATCTAGAAATATAAATGAGAGATGAAGGACTCTGGACTTTGGAGCCAAACAGACCTGGATTTGAATCCTGACTCAACATTACTAGAGGTATAGCTTTACCAAGTTCATTGTCTCTGAGCCTAGGTAGCATTTTTAGGGCAAGACACCCAGCTCTCAGAGTTATTATAAAGGATTATATGAGAGTGTGGGGACAGGCCCGGTCAGTGACCACTAAGAAGGGAAAGCTTTTTGAGCAGACAGAACAGGAGGAGCCTCATCCTTAGGAGGCGTCGGGATGGCTTGGCAGTGCCCCAGCTCTCTCTCCCTCTCTCTGCCATTAGCTGCAGATGCCTGTGAGCTGAGTGCCCAGCCCAATGGAGGCTGTGAGTATCTGTGCCTTCCTGCTCCTCAGACCTCCAGCCACTCTCCCAAGTACACGTGTGCCTGTCCTGACACCATGTGGCTTGGCCCAGATATGAAAAGGTGCTACCGAGGTAAGCACAGCTCCCGGGAGGGTAGGACCTACTGACGCCATCCCCTTCTTACTGAAATATACCCTGAGCTTCTTGGACACTGTGTACAATTGGTTTTCCTCTGACTACTCAGCACCTTTTTTCCCACCCTTGAGAAGTGGTGTCCACCAGGGTCCTTCCAAGTCCTTCTCAGCTTACTTCCAAGAAAAGTGTACATGTACACACATTTTTTATTCAGTGTTAGGGAGTTTCTAGAAAGAAGACCTCATGGCTTCAGCTTCTCTCATTTGTATGCAGCTGGCTCTGTGTTTCCCTACTTCACCTAGAACTTAGATACCACATAAGCAAACCAACCCAGACCCTTTGCCATCAAGTCACTTCTGACTCAGAGTGACCCTGTAGGACAGTGTAGAACTACTCCACTGGGGTTCCAAGGCTGTCAATCTGCAGAAACAGGCTGCTGCATCATTCTCCTGTTGGGTGAATGGTAGGTTTGAACCTCTGGCCTTGTGGTTAGCAGCCCAGCACCTAACCCACAGTGCCACCAGGGCTTCTAAGATACTACATGTTGTTGTTAAGTGCCGTCAAATCGGTTCCATCTCATAGCAACTCTGTATAGGGTTTCTGAGGAGCAGCTGGTGGGTTTGAACCACCGATATTGTGGTTAGCAGTTCAGTTACAGCATCACACCAGGATAGTTGGTTGGTTGGTTATGTGCCACGGAGTCGGTTCCGACTCATAGCGACCCTGTACAGGGTTTCCGAGGCTGTAAATCTTTACAGGAGCAGAAAGCCTCGTCTTTCTCCTGCGGAACAGCTGGTAGTTTGGAACTGCTGACCTTGCAGTTCGCAGCCGGATTCGTAACCACTATGCCACCACAGCACCAGGATAGAAACCCTTTTATGATGTGACTGGAACTAAAAGTTCCTGGGTTATTACTTTAACCGCTTAAATTTCTATTATTTCACCAATCTTGATGTAAGGCCAAGACTTATTCTTTGCTACTGCATCATTTATGACAATCAGTTTCAGCTTTTTAAAGTGCAGAGAAAAAATAAATAAAATTATAGCAATCAGTACAAAATATTTTCAGGTTGATACGAAAGGGTTTCAAAAAGTTCGTGGAAGTTTTCCATTATCTTTTAATGGTAATATCCATGAACTTTTTGAATCCCCCTCATATGATTTCTTCTCTCCCTTCCACACACACCCCACTAATTCTATGGCATTGTTTTAATGACTCATCTTTATCAAACCAAAATGAGGCATAGACAAAGTGCTTGGGATTCAGCTAAAGAACAGCTTATAGCCCATTCAAGAGTATTACTGAAGCTTCACTGGAGTGGCTTTTGAACTGAAACTTGAAGGATGAGTTCATGAGTATAATTCATAAGGGCGAGTGACTTAGACACTAAAGTAACAAAAGTCTCTTTATTTCCTTCCAGCACCACCATCTACCTCAACTACAACATTAGCCTCTACCATGACAAGGACCGTAACCGCCACCACAAGATCCCCTGGCACCACTGCCCACAGCCCCACCTACCAGAACCACAGCACAGAGATGCCGCTGCCACAGAGCCAGGCCACTTCAGTCCCAGGCTCAGCTAGTGCCCCCAGGGCTCCCAGCATCAGTCCGTCCACTGCAAGCCCTGCAACCAGCAACCACTCGCAGCACTGTAAGGAAATGAGGCTCCATCTCTTCCGTGACTTGGGAGGGCTCTAGGAAAGTCAGGATGGAAGCACCTGTGAGAAGAGGTCAGACCAGAGCTAAAGGAATGCTGAATACCTCAGAGGAGGAAGCAAAGAGGGCAGGGAGTCCCAACTGCGATTTAGGAATCTTGAGGTGCACCTCACTTATAGAGCGTCTTGAAGGACACCACCTTCCCCTCTCTCGGCTTTCAGTTTGTCCCCCTCACCTTTCATAAATTTCCCTGAGCGACAAAGGAGGCAGCATCACCCACCAGAAGTGCTTATGCTGATGTGTGTATGAGGGCGTGTTCCCCGTGTTAGAAACTTCAGAAGCTCTCAGTAGGCTCCCCAGATAGTAATATATACAACTATGTTCTTGCTCATGCCTCTTTCCAAACCCTGAGATGGAAATAATTAAGTTTAGCAGTTACTAAATCATCAGGAGTAGTAATTGTCACTGCTAGAAATACTCTGTCTCATTAACCACCAAATGTCTTTTTAATTGAGTTACCTGCCAGGGGGAGTTCTTTGAAAAGGATAAACTATCTTTTAAAGTTGTTGGGTTTTTTTCCCATACGTGGATGGCCCAGAAACCAAGCTGCATGGTAGCATCTTTCTAACTGAGCTTGTTTTACCAGCATAGGTTGGGATTTTCAGAGTTGAACATTTACCCCCAAGTGTGGAAATACAAGTGAAACGTGTGAACTCCAGCCCCTCTCAGCTGGGACAGAGCCTCAGACCGAGAGCCTCACCTCTGGCTTCCTCAGGCTTTGGGCTTGAGCCCCGGAGTGAGAGGACAGAGCGTTCCCACAGTTGGTTTTGTAAGCAGTCTAGCTCTTTTCTCCGCATAATATTTAGGCTCCCTGCAATGACTCACAGAAGCAGACAAGCAGAGATGGAATTGGGGCCATTGCCTGTGGGGAGTCATCGCCTATTGGAATGAATGGAAACGCTGGCTCCTCTTCATGCCTCAGAGGACTGTGTTGATGATGATTATAAGCTTGAAAGAAAGATTACATAATATACATTTTTAAATATATGGTACATTTTCAAAGCATTTTTCCATTTAGAATGTGATTTTTTACACCCAAATCCCATTCCCTGCCCTCTTTCAACTAGACAACGCTGTGCCAGGCATTGTGCTAAGCATTTTACATGAATGACCTCACTTAATCTTCACAGTATCCCTAGGAGGTAGGTAATATCATTATCCTCATTTCAAAGATCAAAAAATAGAGCATTATATACATATAATGTAATATATAATGCAATAAATAACTTGTCCATGGTTATAAATTAGTGCAGATGGACAGGTCCACCAAAAACAACTGACAAATTAGTAACTATTGGCTGTAAAAGGCCACTGGCCCAGTCAGCCACAATATAAAGACTTACGTGCTCACCCTGCCAGACATAGTCCCACCATGATGCTGAGGGAAGGGCATGGAACTTGCAGTCATGAGGCCTCGGTTCAAGTCCCAGCTTTGCACCTCTGTGATTTCCCAAACGCCTCAGTAAGACTCAATTTCTCCGTCTCTGAAATGGAAATAGGCCCTGCCTTGCTTGCCTCTCCAGAGTTTTGAAGGGATCTGGAGAGACTGAACTAAATATTAGCCAGGATCATTATTTTGAAATGAAGGCAAGAAACAGTTGGGTAGTTTCTTGGTCTTGGTTGTTCAGTGATGGGCATCATCCTACAAATGTCTGTGTTTTGCAGATGGGAATGAAGGTGGCAAGATGGGTTCAACAGTCACTGCTGCTGTCATTGGGATCATCGTGCCCATGGGTGAGTGGGGCCTCATGTTACTGGGCAGAGATGAAAGACTCTGCCGAGGGCCTGTGAAAAAAACACTGTTGGTGTTAAGTGCCTTCAAGTCTGTTCCAACTCATAGCAACCATGTATTGGGTTTCAGAGGAGCAGCTGGTGAGTTTGAACCGCCGACCTTGTGATTCACACTGTCCTTGTGGTCCAGTGCTGTATCCCACAGCACCTGTAGATAGAAAACTTGGTCCATTGACTTTTGCTGCCCTGGCAGCCTCCCTGCCTACTCCCAGTCCTGATTAAATTTGTTTTTTTAGCTTGGCACACAGGCACCTCAGGATCCAGTCCCACCACTCCACCCCCTCATTCATACTCCTATTCATTGTCTGTGCTCATCAGCTCAGTTGTTCCAGGCTTATTTTGAGTGAATGAGTGGAAAATCCTCCAAATGTTGTTTAGTGCTGCTCTATAAAAAGGCATATGCATACTATCTCCTCATATATCCACCTCTTGATGTAGTCAATATTTTTAACTCTATAAAAAGGCATGTGCATGCTATCTCCTGATATATCCGCCTCTGATGTAGTCAATATTTTTAACTTCTGTTCATTTGAGGAATGAAGGATGAATATTAGGTTCCTGAAATTTTCTTGTGAGGTTCAGCATCTTTTCTTAAGTTTATTGGCCATTTGTATTTTATTCCTTATGAATTGCCTATTCACTGTCTTTTCCTATTTTTTGTTGGAATATTTATTGATAATGAAGATTAAAGTTTTGCAATATATATTGAAATTTATATAACGAATATAAAACCTTTGCAATATTTATTAAAATATTTTTCCTCATCCACTACTTGAACTTTAAATTTGTTTATGGTATCTTTCGCCATGTATAAATTTTTAAGTATCAGATGTTTTTGGTCTTTTGTTTTATGACTTCTGGGTTTAGCATCTTTCTTAGGATGTTCTGCCTCACTCTAAATTATTAAAATATGTTTCAATATTTTCTTCTTCTACTTTAAACATTATTTTAGTATTTACAAGTTTAATCAGTGTAGAATTTATCTTGGTGTATGGTGTGAGGTAGGGATTTAACTCTTCCCTGCCCCCATATGCCTTACTAGTTTTCCCAAAACTATTGATTAAATGGAGTCTTGGTGTGGCGCTGTAGGCCACAATGTCAGTGGTTCAAACCCACCAACCACTCCTTGAAAATACTATACAGGGTCACTATGAGTCCGAACCAACTCGATGGCACTTAACAACAACATTTTTTTAAACAATCTATGCTTTCCTTCTGACTTGAATTGTCATCTTTATTATAAACCACATACCTACATATACTTTGATCTGCTTCTAGACTGTTTATTCTCCTCTACTGATTGTCTATCTGTTTCTATATACATTTTAATATCTGTAGGACATTATTGGAGCTCTGGTAGCAGTAGATTACGAGTTGAGCTGCTAACCATAAGGTCAGCAGTTCGAATCCACCAGCTGCTCCTTGGGAGAAAGATGAGGCTTTTTTGCTCCTGTAAAGATTTATAGCCTTGCAAACCTGATACAACAGGGTGCTGTAAGTTGGACTGACTCCATGGCACACCACCATCACCACCACCACCGCCAGGACATTATTAGTCTCACAACATTATCTTAGCTATTTTTGCCTAGCCTCTATTCTAATGAACTTTAGAATCATCTTGTAAATAAGAATTATGATAGAACTTTTGAGATTGCTTTAAAGATGTATTTTGATGCTGGGGGAGAATTTACATTTTTATAATATTGAACCTTCCCATCCAGGAATATACATGTCTGTTTATTTGAAAGAGAGCTCAGTGGCTCAATAGGAACAGCACTAGACTCCGAACCATAAAGTCAGTCATTTGAGCCCACCAGCCACTCCTTGGGAGAAAGATGAGGTTTTCTGTTCCTGCAAAGATTTGCAGCCTTGGTGTGGTGTTGTGGGTTAATGCACTGGACTGCAAAGTTGGTTTGAACTACAAAATCATCAGTTCAAGCTCATCAGCTGCTCCTCGGAAACCCAATACAGGGTTGATATGGGTTGGAACCGACTCATTGGTGCACAACAACAATAACAACAACCCTATACAGAGTTGTTGTGAATTTGAACCACCTCAATGGCACTTAATAACAACAGTTTATTTGAATCTTTAAAAAAATATGTTCTCAGTAGAATTTAATAGCTTGTATACGACATATGTATTTTTTGCTAGGTTATCCTAGGTATTTTATAGAGTTTTTTGGGCCTATTATGATTGTGTCTTTATTCCATTACATTTTTAATTGGTTATTACTGGTTAATAAGCAAGCTATTGATTTTTTTATATTGATTACTGACTAAAATGATTTCTAATAGTTTTCATCTGCTTCTCTAAGACTTTTCTAAACATACAGATAGTTCTTATAACAGTTATGGGTCTTCCTTTCCCATCTTTATATGCCCTTCGATTCTTTATCTGTCCTGACTGGATTGGATGGGTGCCCAGGGTAATAAGTAGTAGCAATAACATCAGGTATCCTTGCCTTGTTCCTGCCTTGAATGGGTATTAATTATTCGAGTCTTGCTAAAGCAGAAACCTCTTTTACAGCATCCGAGACTTCAGCAGACTCCACTTGAATGTCCAGAGTCTGTCCTAGGCCCTTAGGAAACTGCTTGTCCTATTTTTGCCTAGTTCTGTTGGAGAGCGCGTTCTCTTTTACTCATTAAATTATTCATTTATTCTAACTCAGAGCCTGGGTGGTCCTGCTGGTCTCCTTCTAGAGATGTGCCTCTTCTAGCAGAACACAGTTTGGGAAATAAACGCTGCACCCCCCATACTCCAGTTTGGGGAGAGGACAGTTTACTTAGAGAACACCTGGAAAGCAGCAGTGTTAGGGCAAACATGGGGAGGAAATCCATGCATTCGTTTTGCATGTGTTACTGTGAGCACCTACGCAGTGCATGACACTGGACAGAGAGACATCAGTAGAAGCTCCTGCCTTCCAAGGGTTCAGTCTGGTTGAGGGTGGTAGTTGTTGTGTGCCATTGAGTTGGTTCCGACTCATAGGGTTTCCAAGGCTATAAATCTTTACAGAAACAGAGAGTCTCATCTTTCTCCCACAGATTCGAACTGCTGACCTTGCGGTTTGCACTCCAGCTCACAATCCACTACCAGGGCTCCCTGCTTGAGGGTTTGTTGTTGTTAAGTGCTGGTGAGTTGGTTGTAACCCATAGCAACCCTGTATACGGTTTCCAAGGAACGGCTGGTGAATTTGAACCGCCGATCTTGCAGTTGAATCAACTTTGTGGTCCAGCGCATTAACCCACAGCGCCATACCAGGACTACACCAAGTTTAGGGTACAGATATGCAAAGTAAGGTACCCATGGCCTGGGAGCACTATGAATGCCTAGAGCCTTTGGGTGGGACTTCACTTTTGAGCTGAATCTTAAAGGATGAGTTGTTAATGAGGGAGAGAAGGGCATTCCAGGCAGGCATCGGAAAAAACCCCCGCAGAAACAGCCTGAGGAACAGGTGGCAAGAAATGCATTGATGTCTGAGTAGCAGGTGGGAGCCTGCTGGAAGGTCCAGTGTAATGTGTCCTTTCTTCCAGGTGTCATAGCCCTGCTGTGCATGAGTGGCTACTTGATCTGGAGGAACTGGAAGCGGAAGAACACCAAGAGCATGAATTTTGACAACCCAGTATACAGGAAAACAACAGAAGAAGAGGATGAAGATGAACTCCATATAGGACGGACTGCTCAGATTGGCCATGTCTATCCGGCAGTAAGTATTCCTTGTTAGAGAATGCCTTCCTTTCCTCTCATCTTCCTTCCCGCTCCGTCTTCCTCCCTCCCTTCCTTCCTCAAACATTTATCAAGAACCTACCATGAGCCAGGTACTGTTCTAGGCCCCGGGGACACAAAAATGCTAGGGCAAGTGGTTGGGGTGGAAGAGCAATAGGACCACCTTGTACCTAGAGGCCTCTTCCTAGCAGTAAAGTCTTCATTTCTGCAGAGTAAGTTTTAAGAAAACCTTTGGTCTGGAAGTTGTAATCTTGGCCATTCAATTTAAATGTATTCCTTTCATCAAACACAGTATGCCAATTATGTGCCAAGCACCACATTAGATGTATCAAGTGTTCAAAAGTAAATAAGGACTGGTGGCACTTGCCCCCAGGGAGCTGGTGGGGGAGTAGAAATGCTAATGTTCTTGAACAACTATGTGCCAAGTGCCATGGTGGAAGCTCAGGAGTTCTCTCTTCTAGGAAACGTTCTCTGACTTGCTGTGTTCTCCCATAGTCCTCTGGGCCTCTTCTCCATCACAGCACCTGTCACACTGTTGTCTAGTTAATTGTTTTACTTACTCGTCTCCCCACTGGACCGTGAGCTCCTTGAGAGCAGGATTGTCTGATGAATCTCTTTCCCTGGTGCCTAGCACAGCTTAACTGCTGCTACTAAATGTTTGTTGGAAAAATGCTATGGAAACATCAACAAGGTTGTTTAGGAAATCAAGCAGGTAAAGTGTGTCCTTGAAACATTAAAAGCCGTTTTCCAGGCAGAGAAGGAGAGAAATGGCATCCCAGACAGAGGCACAACAGAGCATGGCTTTTGGGGGGAGCAAGGACCACCAAGTGGCTAGAGCAGATGTCATTGTTGTGTAGCAGAGTCAGGGGGCTGAGTGTGACCTCAGAGGTCATCCAGTCCATCCCCCTGTCAGGCAATCAGCAGCTTTGACCGCCCACTGTGGGCAGAGCCCTGTCTTGGGGAGACCAGAGAACTGGAAGACCCAGCCCCTGCCCTCAAGGAGCTTTTTGTCTTGCCGGGGGAACCAAGGTCACAGCTGCACCAACTCCCGAAGAACCCTCATTCCGAGCTGCCTGTCGTCAAGTGCAAGGTAGGGCCGAGCCACTCTGAGTCCGAGGGGCTGGTGAGTGAGGGCGTGGAACCAGCCAGGCAGAGCCAATGCTGGCAGGCTTTCTGATGTTACAAGGATGCAGACTGTAAGCTGGGTGTCGGGGGCAAAGACGAAACACGGGCTAGTTGCAGACTAAGGAAATAGCATGTGGGAGAAATCAAGTATGGGACAGAGCACAGAACTGCTGTAGCACATTGTTCTTGAAGGGGAGATGGGAGAAATGAAGCAGAGCCTGTGGGGAGAGTTAGCAGAGGGTCTTGAGGATCCTTAACCGCAGCCAACGTCAGCAAATGGTTGTATAACCAATTTTTAAAGATCAGAGAGAGCATGGAGTCCCGTGGAAGAAGCATTGAGCCTGGACTGAGCCAATGACTCCCCATTTCGCTATTCCACCGCCCTGTAATCTAAGCCTTTCTCCCATCACACTTTATTTGTAAAATGGGAATAATAACCCTTATCTTACCCGCCTCCCAAGTTTGTAAAGTTCGAATTAGATTACACATGTAAGAGCACTGTGTGAATGATGTCGCACTCTCTATAGCCAAGTGGCGTTATTTCCAGGGCAGGAAGTAGCTGATCCAGGAGGAGCTGTTCCTGGCAAGTGTAAAGCCATGTAAGAAGCTGCTGTCGGTTGCGGTAGACAAATGGAATACAAGAGTCAGGAAATCAAAATTTTAACGAGCACCTACCACGTGTCAGGAGTCCTGGTGTGGCGCTGTGGGTTAATGCACCAGACTGCAAAGCTGTTTGAACTGCAAGGTTGGCGGTTCAAACTCACCGGCTGCTCCTCGGAAACACTATAGAGGGTCATAACTGACTCGACAGCACTTAACAACAACAACAACACGTGTCAAGGAGCCCCGGTGGCACAGTGGGTTAAGTGGTGGGTTAACTGCAAGGACAGAGGTTTGAACCCACCAGCTGCTCTGCGGGAGAAAGATGAGACTGACTGCTCCCATCATGGTTTCTAGCCTGGGAAACCCTTTGGGCAGTTCCACTCTGCCCTGTTGGGTCGCTTTAAGATGGAATCCACTCAGAGGCAGTGGGGTAGGGTGGGATACCATGTGTTTTGCAAACATTTTCATATTTAATTTTTATAATGACCAGGCATTGGACTGCTAACCACAAGATCAGAAGTTCAAACCCACCAGCTACTCCTCAGGAGAAACATGAGATTTTCTGCTCCCATTAAGATGGACAGCCTCAGAATCCCAGTACAGGGTCAGAATCAACTCAGTGTCAATGAGTTTGGGTTGTTTTTTGTCTGGCTAATAACCTTATTAAGTTGATGTATGTGTCTCGGTTTGCAGATGAGGAAACTGAGACTCAAAACTAACTAAGTTGTCTCAGGTCACTTAAGGAACTCTAGAGGCAGCATAGTGGTTACGTATTGGGCTGCGAACCGTAAGGTCAGCAGTTTGTAACTACCAGCCCAACTGCTAACCAAAAGGTTAAAATCTACCTGGGAACACCTCTGAAGGCTCACCTGGCGATCTGCTTCTACGAGGTGAGGTCACGGAACAACTAGAGGGCAACCAACAGCAACAGCAAGGTCACATAGCCAGGAGGCAGCAGAATCAACTTTGAGCTTCCAGTCTGCATTTACACAAAAGCCCACACTTTTCCCGCTATCGTATGGTATCAACTGTCTGTGAAGAACAGAGCAAAGCACTGCCCAGTCCCGGACCCTCCCCACCATTGTTGCCATGTTTGAACCCATTTTTGCAGCTGCTGCATCAATCCATTTAATTGAGGGTCTTCCTCTTTTATGTTGACCCTTTACTTTACCAAGCATGATGTCCTTTTTCAGGGATTGGTTCCTCCTGTATCCATTTTATCACACAAGGTCAATAACCTTGAAGCTCTGAAAATCAGTATTCTCAACAGACTTTTCTCTTTTAAGGTTCTCTCCCTTGCCCCTTTTTCAGGCAGCTCCTCCGTCACTCTGGGCCCTGTCTTTTGGCCTGAAAGATCTTTCTTGAAGAGAGTGGGAAAGTAGCTGAATGAGAAGATAGTCTCAAATATCTCTGCTATTGGAGCAAGGCTACGACCTTCACACAAAACTACAAATAGTCCATAGATGGTTTGATAGGCAGTGGGGTTACTTTGTGCCATGGAGTAGGTTCCGACTCATAGCGACCCTGTACAGGATTTCAGAGGCTGTAAAGCTTTATGGGAGCAGAAAGCCTCATCTTTCTCCCACGGAAGTATCGTATGTAGAATGTGTAAAATGTTTTGTTTTGTTTTGTGCTGACAGGTATAGAATATACTAGGCCCTATGTGTGTTCAGTACTGTATTAAGCACTTACATGCATTATCTCATTTGATTCCCCAATAATCTTAGGAGGGAGGTTCTGTTATTATTCCCATTTGACAGATGAGGAAACTAAGGCTCAGAGAGGTGAGGTGGCTGGCTCAAATCCACACAGCTATGAGAAAGATATTGAGGGAGAATGAGCAGTCACTGACAATTGCTCCAGAGTTTCTTTGGGGGAAGATGAAAATGTTCTCAAACTACAGTGTGGTGACAGTTGCTTGTGAGCATGTTTTATAAAAAAAAACACCAAATTGTGTACTTTACATAGATGAACTGTATAGCACTTGAGTTATATCTCAATAAAGCTTTTCCCAACAAATTTAAGATAGGTATTAAATAACAGATTATCTAAAAGAAGGTATCCAGGAAACAGAAGATTAGGAGACCAGGTTACATCAGAACCCATTGGGGAAAGCTAGATGTATAGTCAGGGGAAGTAAAAACTCAGAAGGATGCATAGGGAACTCAAATACCATCTGTACATTTCAAGTGTTGTCCTCTGAAGAACTGTCTTGAATCTAAGACGTAGAATTAGCTTTCACATCAGGTTAGGGAAGAACTTGAGTCCTTGTCCACAGTGAGCTCATTGTCTAGTGCGCAGCCACTGTGGTAGAGCGGAGTCTAGCATCTAATGACTGGAATGTAGGGCTAAGAGAAAGAGGGATTGCATTTAATTGACCAGTTACGTTGCCTTCCAATTCTGTATCACTAGTTGGGAGGGATGCAGGAGATTTACCTTCCTAATTGTGATTAGCATGCTGAAGATAAGTCGCTAATAGCCTGGGGTCTAGTACTTAGCCAAAGCTAACTTACTAAAGGTGTCCAGACCTAAAACCTTGTAAGGGATGATTAAGAAGGTTTAGCCTCATTTTTGAAGAGACAGGCTAAAATGATGGAAAAGCAACCGCCCTGGACTTACAGAGACCTTGGCTCAAGTTCACACAAGGGAGATGTGATAATCTGCTTCCATAAAGATACACAGCCTTGGAAACCCTATGGCGCAGTTCTACTCTGTCCTATGGGGTTGCTATGGGTCCGAATTGACTCGAGGGCTGTAAGTTTTTTTGGATGGGCCTCAAGTTCACCCATTTGCTATGTGATCTAGGGCAAATGTTGCGTAAGCTCATTGAGTCTCAGTGTCCTTACCTGTAAAATCAATCTGACAAATCCTGGCTCGGGGTTGTTTGAAGATAATATGAGCTATACCTACAAAGTAATTAAATGTCTGGTACTGTGTGGATACTCAACAAATAGTAGCTACCTTGGGTCTAATGATGATTTCTTTGCTCTGTCTCCCCCCAGCGAGTGGCATTAAGCCTTGAAGATGATGGACTGCCCTGAGGATGGGACCACACTCTTCGTGCCTCATGGAATTCAGTCCCCTGCAGAGTACTCTCTGGATGGTGTATTGGATGCCTGGTTTCTGTATGTGGACCTGTGTGAGTGTGTGTGAGAATGTCTCTCTCTCTCTCTCTCTCTTTCTATCTCTCTTTTTTAATTTATGTTGGAGAAAGGTAACCACAAAGTTATGATGAACTGCAAACATCCAAAGGATGTGAGAGTTTTTCTATGTATAATGTTTTATACACTTTTTAACTGGCTGCACTATCCATGAAGAATTCATGGAATGACTACTGCTAAGTCACTAACATAATGTTCATAACCAAACTGGGGCCGAGGGAAACAGAGTAGCTTACTCATCATTTAGAAACTGTATTTACAGAGGATGTTTGGTTTCTTGGGGGGTTTTGTTAGGTTTGGTGCTTTTGGTTTTTTGTAAATAAAATTATAATTATACTTTGTGGCTATCTATCAACATAAGTAGAAAAAGATTTCGAACTCCCTTTCTGCATTTAGATTATTTATTAACATATTTCAAGAATAAGACTAGTTCTATAAATAATTTACACAAGTGAAAGTATTTATTTTCGGTATGTTTGGCTTTCCGTGGAGGAGCCCTGGTGTCACTGTGGTTCTGGTGTTCGGCTGCGACCCAAAAAGGTCAGTTGTTTGAACCCATCAGCTGCTCCGTGGGAGACGGATGTGGCAGTTGGCTTCTGTAAAGACTTACAGCCTCAGAAACCCAGTGGGGACAGTTCTACTCTGTCCTGTGGGGTTGGAATTAATTCAAGAGCTGTGGGTTTGGTTGGTTCTCCATGAAGACTCTGTGTGTGCTTGTGTGTGTGTGTGCTTGTGAGAGAGAGAAATCTGTAGAGACATGTGCACATCAATGGCTTTTGTTCAAATACACAAAGATAAATATATTTTAAGACAGTGCACAAGAGGGGTATCTGTAGTTTTCAGAGAAGTCTTCAGAAATTTGACTCAGAACACAGATACCATGGATTGTACAAATACCCAGTGGAGGAGGCAGATCTTTTCCACCTCTGGCTGTCCCTGAGACTCCAGGCAGGCAGGAAAAGCCCTCCACTTGGCCATGGCCATGACTTGTACCTGGGCTTTCTGTTCTGTGGTTCACGTCAGTGTGCAGACTTTATACAGCGCCAGCAGCACTTAAGAGCTCACGTCAGAACATGCCAGCACCTCAGCTGCTCCTAGTTTTAAATGTTCAACTCTTGAGTAACTAGCTTCCTTCAGGATTCATGGGTTGAAATCACTAAGTTTACTCCGCAGCGCCATGAAGGGTGCCATCCTTGCGTACAAAGCTAAGTGGAGAACGTTCCCAGAACAGCCCAAGTTCATCCTAGCACTGAACTTGGAGACATGCTGTGATGAGGAATTGGACAGTGGAATAGGTTTTACTGTGTCTCTGTTTCTCCCTTCTCCTCACTTCCTACCATTTCCTTTAGGTAGGGAAACTATTTTAAAGTAATAAGTAGGGTTTTTTCACCACCATATGTTCATATAGGTGAAACTAATTTTTGACTAAAGTCGGACAAGTTAGCCAAACCAGAAGTCCTTTGAGAAGGGAAGTGGCACCAGTAATATTGCAGTACGTTGGACGTATATATGCTCACCAGGAATTTGGTTTACTACTACTTTGTAAATAAAAGAAGAAACTCTGTATAAATATAGATTTTTTTTTTTTTCATAATGGACACTTTTTTTTGTTTTTCCTGGGCCATGGTGGGTGGGGTTCCACCACAGGAAACATAATTCTGCAGCCCCAGGAGGAATCCAGTCCCACTGGTTCTCTCATCCAAGGTGTGGTCTCTTCTTAACTCTTTCCCTGCTGTACTGCCACTTCACTCACACGAGACTACTAGGGCCAAGATAAGACACAAAAGGTTTTGGCTTAAGTAGGGGGCAGTATGTCTAACCTTAACATACCTGGAACTTGACTCATTTAAGCAAATACCAACCCCATCCCTCAACTAGGTGAAGCTTCACTGTCTCATCAGCATGATAGATACCCTTTGAATTTTCAGGTAGACATTGAGAAGTTTTAGCACCCTGTTCCTACATCACTCATGGTCTCCTAACCTCTGAGGAAACAAGTGGGTCGGGACCCTGTGCACCAATTTCCTTATGGTATGCATGTGTTGATAGTCCTGAAGTATTTATTAAGCAATGAAATGCAATGAACCTAGAGTGATCAGTAACGAACCGAATTTAAAGAACAGGTGGCCAACTCCTATGGAGCCTTATCACTTACTGCTATTCTTACAAGAATGGAAAGTTAAATTATTTTTGACTGAAGAAAAGCAAAATAACAACCACTGAACTTTAAAGTACTTTTTCTGTATCCTGCTTCCAAAGAAATCATCTGGATTTCCTGGGAAATTAAATGACAACCGTAATGAACGCTTAGTTTCTAACTTTCAGTCTGATCCTGCCTGGGGAAAAATAAATGGATAAGTCAGAACGATACAACCTGAGAGCTCAAAATTATAACAAACGTCACCACGCTCTGAAAGACATCACGTTTCCTGAATACTCTACAACAGCAGTTTGAAAGAGAGCAACAACAGGAACAACTCACAAAAACAAACAGAAATCCTCATAATGCTGAATGGCAATAAATCAGATGCAATCCGAGGGATCGGGTCCACGCTCCCTCAAGCCCCCAGTACCTGCAGAAAGACTTTGCTGGAAAACAGAGAAAATGCACAACTGGAAGGACTAGACTTTCTAGACTAATGGGACATTTTAAAAGTTTGGGGAACTTTTGAACCTCCTGAAATGTAGTTGCGTTTCTGTTGCCTTTTGGCTGTTGTGCCCATCATAGATCAGCCTGCAGCCAGTAATGGATCAAAGAGTCGTACTATAGCGCACGAAGGAACCTTAGAGAAAATGTCAGAAGGGGGCAGAAAATAAATTCAGCACACAGTATTTTCTCTGTTTAAAAGAAGTGGTACCTAGTCCTTTTTCTCCCTTCTGCTTCTCAGGGGGACTACTTGCAGCTGCCTGAGCATCATATGAAATGTGCTACCTAAGCCTGTCTTTCCGATGCGATTATGAATGCACTGGCCAAAACAAGACAAACTAAAAAGTTATTTACTTACTCTTGATGTTGCTGTTATTGGGTGCCCTCAAGTCAATTTTGACTCATAGTGACCCCATGTGACAAAACAGAACAGCCCCTGAGGGTGTCCTAGGATGTGATGTTTACCTGAGCGGATCACCCTACAAAGCTTCAGGGTGGGATCAGACTGCCAACTTTTTGGTTACCAGCCACACACTTAAGCACCACCAGGAATCCTTTTGACTCTTGATGAACTTCCAAAACCCAAATCCACTGTCATCAAGTCAGTTCTGACTCACAGCAACCTTATATAAGGTTTCCAAGGCTGTAAACATTCACAGGAGCAGAAAGGAGTGGCTGGTAGGCTTGAACTGCCAACCATTCGGGTAGCAGTCCAGTACTTTTCCTACAGTACCACAGAGTGAAGTAGCCTCACCTTCACCTGGCAAAAAGAGGATGGGTGGGACTTAAGTTTATGGCAGTAAGTACTATCAATCCCTCCAATTCCCTATGTGATTACACTGAAACTTAGCTAGGTGCCAACTGTGTGCCCGGCTCTGCAAATATAAAGGTCTGTCTGTCCATAGGGATCTCACAGAATCAGAAGAGAAAGACATATGTGGGAAGAAAAACGTGACAGAGTCTATGCAGAATACTGTTGGGGCACAGAGGACAAAGGGGATGAAGATGAAGAATGGGGTCAGGAATGGCATCAGAGAAGTGGCCTTAAGCTAAATCTTAAAAATTCAGTAAGGGTATTCAGGCTGCTGCTGGTAGAGGCAATGGAGCTAAGACAAAAGAACATGAGACAGCATGGAGATTTTAAGGAACTGCACGTAGTTCATTTTGGCAGGAACAAGGGGGACATGAGGCTGGCTGGGAAGACAGGTTCAATGTAAGCACTTTATAAAACACTTCTATTTAATTTTCATTCGAATGAAGCAACATTTCTGCATCATCCATTGTGTAGGAGTCACCACGTGCATCATGGGAAATTCACCAGGATGCGTTATCAGCGCTTTGCAGACGTGACCGTGTTCAACCTCAAGTTTTCTAGTGGCCAAAGGGAAATAACATTTTTTCATAGGTTTGAGTCAAATTTTTGTTACATGGTCGTTGAAAACTAATGCAAACGGGACAGTAAGCTGTTCACAGAAACATTGCAGATTGTCCAGAGCCTCTGAGATTTCCTCAGCCATGAGAAAGAAGCCTGGGTGTTTTGAAGGCATGGAATCGGGAGAGGGTATGTAATCATTGTCCGGTCAGGTGGTGGTGGGAAGGGAAGCATGCACAGAACTGTGAGCCGTCCCATCCCTCTCCCTAACTCATAGATTCACTGGATGTAAGTAAGAAGTTAAAAGTTACAAACCAAGTCATTTCCTTTCCCATCCATGCATGAAGGTAGAGTATCAGAGTCTTCATGCTGCATTTTTAGGGTATTAGGTGTGCCTGGCCCAAGCCATGGTATTTTCAATAACCTCATATGCATGCAAAAGTGTGACAGTGCATAAGGAAGATCCTAGAAGAATTGATGCATTTGAGTTATGGTGTTGGAGAAGAATATTGAAAATACCATGGGCTACCAAAAGAAGAAACACATCTGTGTTGGAAGAAGTGCAGCCAGAGTGCTCCTTGGAGGCCAGGATGGCCAGACTTCGTCTCACACTTGGGACATATTGTCAAGAGGGACCAGTCACTTGGGAAGGATATCATGTTTGGTAAGGTGGAGGGTCAGAGAAAAAGAGGAAAACCCCCAGCGAGATGGATTGGCAAAGTGGCAGCATCAGTGAACTCAAGCGTGGCAACAATTGTGAGGTTGGCCCAGGACTGAGTAGTGTTTTGTTCTGTTGTGCATAGGGTCGCTATGCATCGGTACTGACTCGATGGCACCTGACAACAACAACAACAACAGGGGTTTATAGGGTATGGAAAATTTAGGAGGTGAAAGAATTACAGCTTCAAATTTTCAGTTGATAAAAGAAATCTGGAAGCTTTGTTCATTCAGGCTATGCACCATGTGCACAGTCCTGAATCTGCAGAAATCCTCTGCGTCTGCAAACACTGTGCTATAAAAAGTAATAATGAAAAAGCCACCTGTGTATACATATAAATATATATATATATTTAAAGATATGAAGGTTTTGATATCTTTTTTTTTTTTTACAAAAACTACAAGAGAAAACAAACTTGTACAAACCATGCACTCTTAAAATGTTTTGTTCTATACTAGCTATTATTAATTTGGGGGTGAAATAACAGTTTGCAAACTCCATCACATTGTACCCAAGTGGAAGTTTTTCCTTGTCTGTGTTCTCCCTCCCCCTCAAATTACCATATCAGCTGTTAACAGGCATGTCAGATGTTTGCTCACACTAACCATTTCTGCTCTTTTTTTCTT